ATGAGGAAGGCAGCTGCCTACTCACCTGGCCTTTGAATTTACAGAGGACACTTCAGTGCTGAGGTACTGCCCCACACACGTGGCCAGGGCATAACAAGTGTACCCCAACAACTGCACCCCTGATATAAAGGGTATGTGCCCACTCTTGATGGCCAGGCCAACTTACGCAGTCCTTATCCACCAATCTCAAAGCACACCAAAGCTGGCCAGCAATCAAACCCCTTCCACTTTGGCACCACAAAAGCTGCCTTTAAGGACTCTGAATCCTAGAGCAGGCTCAGGAAAGATCTCTGCTCTCCAAGCATGGAATTAGCAAGTCAAGGAGGAAGGTGTCTAAAATGAAAAATTAGGCTCTGTAACACACTGAGAGGAAACACTCATAGAGCGGGTTGTACTGCATCTGGAAGCTCAAGTGAGCCTGCTGGGAGGCACCTCTACCCCCTCTTGGTACTGCAGCTTTGCTCTCTCTTTTGGCCTGAAGCAGGACGGCTCTTTTATTTCAGGAACTCGACAAGATTCACTCTTCTCTAACAAAAGCATTGCCTTTCTCTGTGCTTTAAGATGCTTGTTATTCTTTCACCTTTCCCGTTGGAGCTACGGTTGAACAGAAAAGAACTCAGCAGTCCCCAGTACAAAGTGGGAAGAAGGAGAATGACTGAACTATATGCTGCAGGCCAGGTCTTTCTCTTATAAATCCAGTGGTTGTTTAATACACATAAAGAAACAGTCAAGGAAGAAAGGACTACATATAGCTAGACTTTAAACTGTACTTGGTGGTTTATTTTACTTAATGCTTTACATAGTCTATGTAATACAAAGATCATTCCTAATTTAAAGACTTAGTTGAAAAATACAGCCAGATTGCTAAGAAAGGGAACAGCAAAGCCTTAATAAACATCTTGGGGAGACTGCTTTATAAATAAAGGCTTTAAGCCTCTGTTAGCTCAAAAATAGATGTTGAGAAAAGGGGAATTAAAAAGAAACAGGCATAGCTGACAGGTTGTAAAAGGAATACAATTTTACTTTGCCAGTGAGAACTGAGCACAGAACAAAAGTCAGACTGGTTAAGGTAATCACATAATTTAACAGCTAGGCTAAAAATTGAGTTCAGTCTAGCTAGAAACAGGACGACCAGTTAGTTACCTCCTCCTGCCTTACTTATAATGAGAGTCTTTCTCTGCCACCAATCTCAAGATCCTGGTGAGGTTTCTACCTACAGGGTCAAAACAAGCCCAGCTTTCCTGCTAGCTAAACATACAGCAGGACTGAGCTCCATGGCTCAGGCTTTCCTTATAATCCTGTTCTAGGAATTTCAGTATCAATTTGTCATGTTCGTAAGATACTATTTACAGATGTTTTTCACTCAGTGTTCCTAAGATGTTATTGTAATGCATTAGATGGACAATTAATATTTTTCTTTGAAGTAGATTTCCCTCCCACCCCCAGGACTGTTTCTTAGAATTCTTTGGACCCCTGGATGGAGGCAAGGAGATGTGGGGTCAGATACTTGGTTCTTGGGTACCCTATTCCCCAAGAGCACTCTACTCAAGAATCTCCATTCACCTTCCTTTGTCCCTTTTGTGCTAGAACCACCACCCCAACACCAGGGCTTTTTTTCCCCACTCTTGATTTTACAAATAAATAAAAGACAAATAATCAACACACCACAATGTTCGGGATCTTAAGAGTCAGACTGTTTGCAGGATTGCCATTATGAGTTAGATATCTATACTTCATTTAATTCACTGTCAGCTCTTACACTGCTTGATTCCCTCATCCCCACTTCACAGAGAATGGAACTGAAACACACAAATAATGGAATTGATCAATCAAAAATCCAGCTGAAATACTCTAATAATCAAAGTCCAGGCCCAACAGGACCATTCAGATAACTATACTTAATTATAGGTTTCTATGCTTTCTGAATTAGGAACAAGTTTGCTTGCTCAAAGGCAACCCACATCTCTCAACTGCCACTTCAGTTCTATCATGCTGTCACATAGTTTGCAACAGAGATGAATTTGTTCCTTTCCCTGTAAAGCTGCTTCACATAGAAATCTGAGTTTCAGATGTTACTATCAATATTATTAGAAAATCAGAATGCTTCACTGAGGTTGCCTTGGACTGAAAGTGATAACTCTCCAGGGCAAAGAGTCCTACATTTGCTCTAGGATAAATCAAACCATGGCATCACTCCCCAGAAACTTCATACAAACAATGTTACTTACTGTAATAATTGATAGTATCAATGATCCAGAAGCTAACTAAAAATAAGTTTCTCTTTCCTTTGTGCATGTCTAACCATCATTCCCTGCTTCTTCCTCTAAATGCAACCAAAGGAATGCCCAAAGACTCATAAGGGTGTCTGTTTCAAAGAGTTTAATTCACAGGAGTCTCACTTAGGAGAACAATACGTATTTTCACTACAACTGTGCACACAGCCATCTGGGGTAGGGAAATATTACCATTTCTTTGCCTCAAAGATGTAGACTTCCAGGGACACACAAAGAAACTCTCAGTTTGAACTGCTCTAGCAAAGCCATTTCAGAAAATACATCTTACAAGACAGAAAATGATCCATGGGGAACCTTTTGTAAGCTCAAAGCTCTGTTACATTGCTGTAAGGTCACTACCAAAGGCAGCAGGCAAAACTGACCCTAGGAAAACTGCACACACTAAAAAACATACTCACAAATTCTTCTAATTCCCTCAACTAGGAAATCCTCAGCAGGAAGAGCCTATGAGTGAAGAGGTCTTTTTCTGTGGCTCCATGCTCAGCAATCAGCCTGCCAGGTGAAGCAGGTCCTCCCCTGCCCAGAGCCCCAAAGACAACACCAGAGCAGCATGACACAGCAAGGCACAGCATGCACTAGCTACTCCCAAACAGTAAGAACTAAAGCAAAGCTTTGCTCAAAGGAACACATCTTGGAGACTGGAAGAACTAGTCCAAGAGGATACAGTGATTTTGAAAATAAGCACTAACTTCCAGTCTTTTCTCTCCACAGGGGATGTCATGTGTGCTGGGTTTTTTTACCAATCTCTGTAGGAAAAGATTCTAACTCAGTCATAGCAGTTACCCATACATTGCCCTGAGTTCTGCATCAGTTTTACTGCAAAAGACTGGAACACAACCAAACGGTAGCTCTAAAGTAAGTCACCTCTGTTAATAAAAGGCAATGCATACAGTTGCCAGCATACTGCCGACATTTAACAAATGACACTAACAAGAAGGGAAGCAGCCAATGGGGCTGCCTCAGACTTCCGTCCCATCTGCTGACAGCAGCAAAAGACCCCTCGCAGACCTCTCTCAGAATGGAGTAACAGACCAAAGGTCTTCAGTCTTCCCCCAGCCCAAGGGCTTAACCGAAGAGAAAAATTTTCCTGAGCTGTCTTCCAAGGTTTATGCCAGGTGTGTTACCCAAGCACAGGGATACATTACAAAATGTGTACATTAGCAAAAAGAATTTATGTTCTGGTAGCTAAAAAAACTTTATTTACCTCATTACAGGCTTTGAACTTATTCACTTAGTACAGTGAATTTTTATTCATTGCTTCCCATGAACATCTGTCTTCCATATTTTCTGCTAATGTTAATTTTACAAGCCCTACCTTTTTTTTACACCAGTTTTTTCTAAGTTTCTCTAAACTACAGGTGGGATTCTCCAAGGCAAAAAGAACATCTTCCCCATTAGGCTTTCAAAGCTACTTTCAGTATCAACAGTTTCAGTCGGTGTCCTAAAAAACACTTCTCAGTCTCTTCCCTTCAGCTCTGACTACCAATGTGTGAAAACTTACCATGACAGTTCAACAGCGTGGCTACAACTAACTGCATAGAAAAGCAATTGGAGATACTAAAATGTTTTGAATCTGTTCAGCCACTGCAGTCCTTAAAGGAATGACTGTATTTTAATACTATTTGTCCATAATACACAAACTTGGAGTCAGGGTATTGGGCGAAAAAAAGAAAGAAAAAAAAAAAACACAAACAATTGATAACTTTAGATTAATGTCTTCTGGACATTAATCTGGAAATCAGTGAAAATTATGCCTCATTCTACCATAAAAGATTGGAAATACGACTAACAGATCTGAGCTCTCTAGAATTCTCTCTGTTCTGGCTCCTAAACTGGCCTTGGCCAGGTAAAGAATGAGCTAAGATTATAGATCAGCTTCTTTTACAACTTGCAATGAAGTCAGTTAGCACTGCAGACCCAGAACAAAAGCTAAATGAGATCATAATTGTCTGCCTCTCAAAATGGCTACAGAGGACAGACAGCAAAAAAGTGAGACACTAACACACACACTGCAACACAGCGTAAAGCACAGCAATCTGGACTTTACAGATTAAGTCCATGGTAAAACTTGTTAATTCATCAAAAATTCGAGTAATTAAAATTCATCATGAATTTCACTCACTAAAAATAAAAACACCACCATTTTAGAACACCTCACAAGCATTATATTAGAATAGTGCATGAAACCCACCACAATTCTAAGTGACTTATTCCATACCTGATACTCAGCTTGGGCAGTTAAATGCAATCCTGTTCTACTTTACCACTTTAACAGTTTGCAGCAAGTTGATGAAAGCCTTGTTACATGTTACTAATCAGTTTCAACATATTAAATGTTTTCTTGTAGCTACACAGCTCTAGCTGTGTCTCTGCATATGCACAGTCACAGAGAGAAAATGCATACACCAAATCCATGCCTTAGAACTGCTTTGACTTACCTAGTCAGAAATAAATACTGGGAGTGTTAAAATCCTACACAAAAAGCAGTTCCCTAAAGATCTCTAACTGCAGCTACCTGAGAGCACACTAAAAATAAATGCCACAGGTATTTCAGGAAAGTAATAAGGGCTATTTTGAAATAAAAAATATAAAAGAAAGCAACAGTTAAGTCAGACCTCCATTACAGGGAATCACTCTAGGCATCAAAGCTCTTATGAGCTCATGCAGACAGAAGTTAGGTAAGAGATTTGAAGATGTTTGTCTTACCTTGGAATAAAAATGCCTTGCTGGCATTGTGTAGTCCTGACACTTGTGTTACCCCAAGGGTTGTATTCACAAGATCCAGTTCTGTGATGATATCAATTTGTAAGTCAGGATCCATTCCAAATCCTACAGCTGTTGGAGGCAGACAGAGGGCGGGAGAGAGGGAAGGAAGGGAGGGAGAGTGTTAAATCAATTTTTATTTCAAATCAGGTAATGAAAAGAATGGAGAAGAATATCTAGTGCAGTGTGGACATTTATAGCACCTTTACATTCACACACACTGTATACAGTAATTACTTATAAGACAGCAACTCTGCTGCAGGAAAGAGATTTTCTTCTCCAATTCTTTTAATGAAACTATTTCCTTTCCCCAGATTTTACTAGACGCAAGTTGAAACATTCTAAAACTGTAACACTAATTCAGTACTTTCATAAGGCTAAAGAGTAATAAATAAGTAAAAGCATAACCACCTAGGCAAAAAGATGAAAGAGATTTGCAGCATTCATCTATTGGCCACACTATTTCCAGGGAGACGTGAGGAAGAAAAATTTCACATCTCATAGCTTGCTGTGACTAACAGACCAGGCCTCACAGCTCATAACCTGTCTTCTCAATTGGGCCAAATGACCCTGGAGAAGATATGGCAGCAGGGCAAAGGATGCCACCCCGTAATCCAAGAGCCCCAGGTGACTCCCAGAACTGTTGTGTGCTGCTTGGGAAGCACACCTCTGGTGCCAGTGAAATGTAACAAAGCCTACCTACAAATAGCAGACATTCCTTTACCAGAAGCACAAATCTAAACCTTAAAAATGGCTTATACACAGGCTTGACACTCCCTTAACTAGCAGGGACCTGAGGGGATTCATGCCCCCAAGTAGTCTGAAGTTGCTATGTTCAAAAGCTCAGGGCAACTTGATTGTTATGGTGCACCAAGTTCATTAAACAGACCTTTTTCTAGAGATAGGAAGAGGCCAGCCTGACAACGGTGTCTCTCTCAACATAGAAACGTGTGACATGAGATCTGTGCCTGACACATAGGTCAAATGTCTCATGCAGGATGCAAGCACTTCCTTAATTAAATTTTTATATAACATCTTCAGTATCGAGAACAGGCTCCAGGAAACTCCTGACACAGCTGAAGTCAATGGTAAGAGTCCTACTGACTTCCATCGAGCAACAGCGTTACCTCTAAAGCATTCCCAGACTGATTGCCACAGAGTGGGCCTCATGTTCAGGCCTAAATTGATTCATTTGTAATTCTCTTTGAAGGGCTCTAAGAAATTACTGAGGTGTGCAGAACAAGCAAGTTAAGTATTCTACTCATAAGCCATCTGTATCACAGCACTTTCTTCCTTCCTTTACTTAAGAATTAAAACTTGTTGGAACGTCGTGTTGTGCTAATGCAGAGGATTCTACTACACAAGGGACAGAGTAGAAAGTTTTAGTAGTAGCTTTAGCAGGTCTCTAGCAACCTTACTCTACAAGGAAAATAAAGATCTAGAGGCATCTGGTAGAACTGAAGCTCCAAGACTGCCAATATACCCAGGTGAGTACATACACAGTGCTTTCATAAGGATGTGGGTATAAGTACCTTATCGTAGGAAATTTAAATTAGGTAATATGAACCCAGATAAACTTTTCCAGGGGTAAAAACTTGCCAGATAATCAGCAACATCATCAAGCTTTTAGTACTACCTTTGACTTCACCAACCCTAGATTGCCCAGGCACTGAAGGACCACAACTGATGCTTTGGACAACACCTTCCCCTTTTGGAATCAGCACGGGCATCAGAAACAGCCAGCCAGCTCTTCCGGTCCCAAACCACTTGCATGCAGTCAAGGTTTACTGAAGAAACAGCCAACATTTACCAGTGACTGCTTTCCTTCAGTGTACCTGCCTCTGATTACCAGGAGAGAACTTATCAACCTATCTATTTCCAACCTACAGCAACTCTTGCAGTGCAAGGGCTGGAACCTACAAACTCCAGGCACAAACACGTACATAAATACAGAGGGTGGCCTTTCTGGGAAAAAAAAAGGGGGGAGGCATTAAAGCAAATACTGTTTTCTAGAGAAACTTAAGGACTTATCATTTCTTCTAAGGGTTTCATTCAGAAAAAAAAATAAGCAACACACTGTAAATCGTGTGAACGTACTTACTGGGAAAGAAAGCACCTGCTATCCCTGCCAAGAACAGAATACATTGCTCCTCATTTGAAAGGGGTTGGATATATTAAGATCAGCAAAAACCTCCTAATATGAAGGGAGGTCGAGTAGGCACTAAAACTTGCTCAACGGAAAGGACACACTATGTCCAGGAAGACAAATCTTGACCCCATTAAAGGCAAGGAAAGCTCTGCCACAAGCATCTAGAGGGTGAGGGCAGAAACCACATCTAGCAAGTATGGTCAATCCCATAAAACAGTTACTCCTCTGCTCTATTAAAGCTTTTTATTCCAGCCTGAATACCTAAGGCTAGATAAGTATAGATCACTGTAGCTCCACAGGCTTCGATTTACACCAGTGCAGAATCTTGGGTGCCAACTTTAGTGTGCACCCACAGTTTTTAAAACGCTCTCAAAAGCTAAGATTATTTCTAATGCCACAGCAGCTATTTAGCAAGAGCCTACACTGTTTTAAATACCTAGTCATTTTCCTGTGCTGGCTCTTCAAATTGCAGCAGGCACTCAAAAGCCTAGTTAATAATTAATAGACAACAAATCAGCATCTTCAGTATGATAACCAAGTCTCATTTTCCCCTGCAGTCTCCCACATCCTATCAGAAAGATACCACAGGCACATCAGCCACACTCGCATCTCGTTATTTTATGCTGCCTCTCTTCAGTGGAACAAGAAGCTGGCAAGACTGTTTCTTTCTGAGGTAAAAATTAAGTATCAACCTGTCTGCTCTCACTGGAGAGCTTTGCAAGGCCTGGGCCTGATCCTTATGGGTACAGCTTTCAATTCCTATTTAAAGTAATTGGGACATTTCTCTTGAATCAGTGGCTTACACAAGCAGAACTCCCAACTAATTCAGCCAGGTGGGCGAGAGCAGAAATCACCTCAAGACTTGGTGGATTTGGCCCAACCTGAACTGAAGACGCCATGGCAGATTTAGAGAATTAAGCCATATGATTATGAATGATGTCACCAGGAAATCCCTAAAGGAAATTAATTCTTCCTCACAGCTCCAACAGCTTGTATGCTCTGCTTGCACCTTTATCACCTCCACTCAAGCACCAGCAATCGTGCCACGCTCCATCTAGCTAATGTGGAGTCATGCAATATATGCAGCACATTAATTATTTCCTTAACATGTGAAACGAGCTCTTTAGAGATGGAGAAACTTTAACCAAAAGCACACTCCACACAAGCAAGTCACCCACATGTACCCATCAATGTGGTGAAGAGCAAGCTCTCTCTAGGAGAGGCATTTTGCTCTTTCCCCTCACAACTTCAGCGGCAATTGTTGCACACAAAGAACTTTCAGATTGATATCGCAATTCCAAGAAGGGGAGTTTCAGGTCCTACTGACCATTCCAAAAGCTTGTATGCGTTAACTGGTGTCAACACCACTGCGAAAGGAACAGGCAGTATATTCTTCCAACTATTTTTATGATGCACCTCTCCAGATCTGTAGATTCGAATGAGATAATAATTGCCACGAGTATAACTGTAATTTAAAAACACGGATTCCTTGGCGCTTCTGATAACCCTTTGGGGTAACCTCCTCGAGAACAGATACAAGCACCATCGAGAAACGTTCCCCTCACGACCTCCGATCAAGGAAGCGCGGTCCCCGTGGCAAAGGTAAGGAGAACAAAGCCTCCCAAAAGGAACAAGAAAGGGTGCTTGGGTCACGCAGTGCTGTCGGAATAAGGCGGCAAGCACAGCACCGGCAGGCACACCGCGCCGCCCGCCTGGAACGTGGGTTCCCACGGTACCCCATTCCCCGCTGCCCCGTTCCCCCGGTACCGCGCACCCCGGCCGCTTTCAGAAAACTTTGCCCCACCTGCCCTACCGCACCCGCGGAGAGGCGGCCCCCCCGGGGGCTCCCCGCTAGAGAAAAGCCGTGCTGCGCGCAGCGGAGATCGCGCAGCAAGGGATGCCCGGCTCCGCCGCGGCGGCAGCCGGTAGAGCCGGGGCCACTCCCGATGCCGCTCCCGGTCCCCGCAGGGGCGCAGCCCGCCGCCGGCACCCCGCAAAGTTCCTGCACGCCGAGTCCCCGCTCTCCGGAGAGGCGGCAGGAGCGGCCGCCAGCCCCGCAGCCCCGGCCCCTCACCTGCCCCGGCGGCGGCCGCACACGCCCAGAGGAGCAGGAGGAGACCCATCGGCACGGCGCGGGCGGCAGCGCCCGCCTCTCCCTCCCTCCCGGTGGCTGCAGCAGAGCCGCGCCGATCCCAGCGCAGTCTCCGATGTGCGGACCGACTTCGGCAGCAGCGGCGGCGGCTCCGCCCGCTGCCCAGGCGCGGCCCCAAGCCCCCCCGCAGCGGGGGGGGGTCCCCGCCCGCCCCCTGCCGTGACGCGCGCCCCCCCCTTCCCCCCAGGCCTCGCCAGCGCCGCCGCACGGCCATGGCCTCGGGTAAGCCGAGAGAAAGGGGTGAGCCCCCGCCGGCCTTTCGCCCCGCTCCCCAAGCCCTTCGCTGCTTCCCAACCGGCTCCTTTCCCACGAAAGAGGAAATTCCCCGCGGCGTCGGGCAGCACACTTGTACCAGCGCTTCCTCTTCGCTCCCGGCATGGAAATAGTAAAAATCAACCGTTATTAACTATTTAGTCTTAGTAATAATTCATGCCCAGTGTGAATAAACAAGTTCTGAGATAGAATATGGAAGTCCACTGAGTGATAGGCTTTAAAGCACAGCTTCAAACACATCTTGAGCAACCTCATGGATGAAGAATGCCTGAATCATTTCCAACTTTATTCTTCTGTTGGTCAGAAAGTCCCAAGAGCCCACAGGTGCTGCCAAAGTAACACAAGCATCTGAAAAGTGCTGTGACTTGAGCTGGTCTCACAGATGGGGGTCTTCCCACAGTTCAGCTCAGTACCCAAATGATCACCCATTGGAGAGCAATTGTCATTGTAAAAGCAGTTTCAATTGCTCAGGTTGGAAAAGCAGAGGACAAATGGATGGAAAACAAAAAGTCATGTTCGCCCAGCCAATGCTATTCTTAGACCTCCTCTAATGGCAGCAATTTAACTTCCTCTATCACCAAAAAATGTGATACTCTGATACAATCTTGTTGAAAGCATAAATAGCTGAAAGACCTGACATTCAGATAAGAATTAATACTGTGTTCCTGGACATTCACAGCAATTAAAAAAAACATACGGCACTTGCAAGAGTGAAGCATTACTCCTGGCAAGCAAGCTGGATTTCAGCTTAGATAATATTGCTATGAAAGGCTGTTCTTGCACTCTTGGTTGGACATTGAATGCTTCCTGATTTTGACCTAAATTATTGTTATGTTGCTAACTGCGTGCTGTTAAACCGTTAGTCCTGTCAGCCACAAAGCTTGTGGCATTTTGTGGTTTGATGAAGTATTTTTGGCTAGGCCCAGTATTTCTCAGAGTGGTTGTAAGGTTGGTTGTGTGCCTTAGATAAAAGGTAATTAAAAGCACTATTACTTACTGTATAGCTGAACATGAGGACTCAGTTGCCAGCTGAACAGCAAATGCTGAAAGAAGAGGGAAAAAAGACCTCTGAGCTCATGGGGTAAAATAACTCCTCAATTCACGAATAAGGCTCACATCCTGTAAAAGCCTGGCTCCAAAGGGATACTCCCAACCCACATAGACAAAGTTTATTCTGCAGCCAGTAAAGAGCAAGAATTAACAGCAGGACGTATCATACAACCACAGACTAGTTTGGGTTGGAAGTGACCTTAAAGCTCATCCAGTTCCAACCCTCTGCCATGGACAGGGACACCTTCCACTAGACCAGGTTGCTCCAAGCCCCGTTCAACCTGGCCTTGAGCACTGCCAGGGATGGGGCAGCCACAGCTTCTCCGGGCAGCCTGTGGCAGGGCCTCAGCACCCTCTCAGGGAAGAACTTCTGCCGAAGATGTAATCTAAACCTCCCCTCTGTCAGGTTAAACCCATTCCCTCTTGTCCTGTCACTACTTAAACTAAATACAAAGAAAAAGAGTAGATGTAAAAGAGGTGGGAATAAAATACGACATATTTACCAATTGATAAATAGTTATAAAGGACTATATAATCAGTCAAAAATGCTGAAAGTATCCACATCATATTTATAATTACACAAATAACTAACTGTCGTGGTTTAACCCCAGCCAGACAGCTTGTCCACTCACTCCCCCCCCTTCTTGCCCTCCCCTATTCCTGGGGGAATGGAGAGGAGAATTGAAAAGAAATGCAACTCCCACGGGTTGAGATAAGAACAGTTTAGTATCTAAGATATAACACAAATCACTACTGCTACCACCAATAATAGTAATGATAAAGGAAATAACAAGGGAAGAGAATACAACACCTCATCACCAGGCGACCAATAACTCACCCCCCCCCCAGCCGACCAAGCACTGACCGATGCCTCCGCCAACCCTGCAGTCCCCTAGCCCATCCAGGTAACCCCCCAGTTACCTCCTGGGCATGACATGCTGTGGTATGGAATACCTCTTTGGTCAGTTTGGGTCAGGTGTCCTGTCTCTGCTTCCTCCCAGCTTCCCTCCTCCCTGGCAGAGCATGAGGCTCACAAAGTCCTTGGCCAAACCAAAACATCATTGTTTTCAGCTCTGTTCCCAGGCCAAAAGTCAAAACACAGCACTGCACCAGCTACCAAGAAAGAGAAAAATGACTGCTACTGCTAAACCCAGGACACTAACAAATGCACTAGAATGAGGCCTTACCAAGAGAAATAATTTGTTTATTTCTGTACTCAGCCATGGAGCAATACCTACTGCTTTTATTTATTTTTTTTTTCATTCCCAAGCACACACTTAGCTTACATTTGAAGACTGCAAAATCTAAATTCAACTTTACAACCAATTAATCTATTCGGTTGGTATAACACATGTCCTTCACAGTCTACATTCCAACCATAGGAATTTCAGTACCTGAAAGACTCTTAAAAGTATTGAATGGTTGGTTTGGAAGGGACTTTAATGCTCATCCAGTTCCAACCCCCTGTTGTGGGCAGGGACACCTTCCACTAGATCAGGTTGCTCCAAGTCCCATCCAAGCTGGCCTTGAACACTGCCAGGGATGGGGCAGTAAAATTATGTCACACTACACACATCTGAAGTAGATGTGCCTATCTTCAAGTTAGTTAAGTGACATACATTGCTTTAAAATGTGGCTTGGTTAAATCCATACAACCCAGTTAAAAAGACATTGGGTTTTCATCTGTTCCCATGAGTTTTAAAGATTTAAAGCAGTAGTGCTTAATGGTGACAGTAAAGGACCGCCTCTTACTCCCCAGATCAATGTGTTGTATCATGGACTCACACTGGTAGACTCTGGAGATCTGAAATTCCGTGTGCCTCAGTTTTTACTCCTGAAAAATGGACTAATGACACTTGCCTGCCCCTCAGGACTCTTACAATGCTTGCTGGTAAACTCAGACTTCTGCAAGATGAAACCTGCCTTATGTGTGCAAAGAAGTACTGTAGTCTGCAATCGCTAGGCCCTGCCACTTCCGTCGTCTGCACATACACCTCTCAGAAATGCACCCTTACAGGCAGAACATGGTTTTTTTGGGGGGGTGGGAACTGATTACCAGAACTCCTGAAAAATAGTCCTGCCGCATCACTATTGAGTTGTCTTCAGGATTAGACTCTCTCCTGAAATTACTGTCATGGTCTTGGCAGCATGCTCGTATCTCTTGTATTGCCACATTTGATGCCACATTGTGACCACTGTACTTCAGGTATCTGGGAAAAGCCTGACAAAAGCTCATCTCTGCCAACAGTGAAGCAGGTAGGATGAGTACCAATTCCACAGCAGGCTGCTGGGAAAGGAAGAACCTGCTTCCCTACTGGTATTGTGGCACATTGCCCTAACCAAACAGCAGGAATTCAGCTTTGAACAAGATACAAGAACACGAGGTATCCTTACACTTTCCTCCTTCACTTGCTCTTCCCTTACACCTGTCATTTGCATCTCCAGCAGATAGGAACCTCTTGTTTTTAGCAAACTTTGGGATATTGAATTGATAGGATAAGAAGGATGTAAGGAAATAGAGTTAGTCCCCTGATAGTCAATCAATTATTCCACAAGCTACAGAGCACTCAAACAGTTAAGAACCCAGCCATTTAACTGATACTCACTTCCGCAGCTGTGCAACGTCTCCATTTCCCAAGAGGGCTGTTGCCAGTTGCTGCTCAAGGTTTCTAACAATCAAATGGATCAATTCTTCAGATACCTTAAGGCTGTGTGTTAAGTAAGAATGATGTTTGTGGTGTGTAGTGGGTGGGGAAGGCAGCGGTAGAAAAAGACACAATTCATTCACCAGGAAAATGTCAATGTATTTTCTGTTTTAAACACTGGACATTTATTTAGAGTCTTTAGAGCCCATACATTATAGAATAATTTTCATTTAATCGCATTCAAATATAATAGGCAAATATATAATACAATAAATTGCATTTGTACACATAAATACAAAATCTGAGGTAGGGCCTCAAGAATAATGATTTCTGAAACTATGAACATACAGCATTATAATATGCAGTACATGAGATATATATGATGCATCCTTTGTAACATAATGTATCTCCTCCACATATAGCTAATGAAAAACATTGTAATGACCTGGTTAGGGTACAAATCTTTATCCATAGGCAGCAGTACCCCACAGAATGCCTGTAAATATATATATATATTTATATATGACATTACGCAAGTAATTAAGATTTAACCCATCAATTAATGGGTCCTTAATAAAGTGCCATAGGACACAGGGCGCAAATTCTCAGCTGGTGTGAACTGTCACAGCCCCAGACAAAGCCATGACAGTTTATACCAGCTAAGCATCTACCTTACAAGGTAATTATACATAATATAAATGATAGATAACAGCAGGTTTTAGTTGACCAATAGTTTTCCTTAACAATGGAAGATAGCTATAAGGCAAATGGTTACCTGAAGATGTATTTAAACATTATGGACAAATAATAATATTGTACGCAATAAGGTCCAGCCCAGTTCTCACACCATGTTAAACCCATCAGGAAAACCTACTCTCTTTGGCTGCCTGAGGGTAACAAAGGCAGAAACCCCCAATGCCCCTACCCTCCCCTGCCCTTGAGTTGTCAACCTGAGTCCCTTGGGAATATCAAGCTCTGACCACTTTACAGTGGCTACCATTTAGCTACAAACAAAGAAACAAATGTCTCTTACAACCGCATTACTTAGCAAAGCAGAGAAGCTGAGAAGCTTTCTGGGATGCTGCTTGCTAAAGCTCTGCAAACCCACAATCCCTAAAAAAGTCTGTCTCTGATTGCAAGAAGTGGACCTGCAGAATAAGAAACCAACAGGAAACCAATGTCTGCCAGAAACAAGCAGATGCTTTAACACAGACAACAAGAAAACATACTATCCATACAACTGTACATATATTCAAAAAGGCCAAAGGTATTAAAAATAAACCAGGCATTGGAATTTTATGGTAAGAGAAAACCACACAGTGTATCGAAAGCAATGATCTTCAGTGCTGAGGCACATCTAATGAGGTCAGTGGAGCAGAACCTAAGCAAAAGACTACTTCAACCCAATTGAAACAACATATAAAGACAATCCAAGTCTTTCTCAATTAAAGGTCATTTTGTTAAACCCTTCTTTTTGCAAACAAAGTGCTGCCACATCTAGCTGAAACACAGGTTGTAAACATTGCATATTAAAAACACTAGGAAGACCCCAAATAATTTGAAGATGGCAAGCATTTGCATTAAGTATAATCTTTAATGCATACAATAATGCATCTCAGCTCATCCAGAAATTCAATTTAATTTCAAAGAAAAAATATGCAACATAATTTCACCAAATTCGAGTATTTTTTACTCACAAAATAGGTCTGCAAGTACGTACATCACACTTTTTACTAATATGGCTTTTTCCCTTTTATTTTTTTTTCTTATCTTTACTGGTATTTAATTAATTTCTAAAATTTAGTTTAGAAAATTATCGAAGTACATGCAAGCTTTTTCTAGGACATGGTAAATGAAGTTCACTCCAAACTTCAAGGTGACTTCTCATTTAAAGAAGACACTGCTGGTTACTTTAATCTCAACATTCAGATTTGGCTAGTAAAATACTTCTCAAAAAAAGTCTAATGTAAAAAAAAGAAACCTGCTTTAACCATACAGCAAAAACTCCATACTTTCAGTTATTTTTAGATACATTTGTCCCCCCTCTCCAAATGTTTTTGCAAGCTTAGGAATGGAGGTCAAAGCTGAATACAAATATCAGCTAGAACAAAATCACTATTGCTTGTTTTCAGAGATTCAAAATCAAGCCTAATCCTGTGCTAATGACTTAGCAGGCACAGGAACAACATCTAAATTAAAAGCAAGCAGATTAATTACATAAATCGTGGAAAGCAGTTTGATTTTTCATATGCATTCTGGTTTGGTAATCCAAGCCAAATAGAAGGTATCATAACCTAGCACTATTCCTTCAAATGATACCTGTTTTATGCTCAAGGTAGACAGTAACTGACATCCTTACACTGAGTTAATTTTATTGCAATTAGTTAATCCCAGTTCCAATGCATGTCCTGAGACAAGTTAGTAAGTGAAAGGATTCAGAACTGTTAAGCCATTTGAGAGTGTTCTCTTTAAAAAAAAAAAAAAAAAAAACAGAAAGAAAAAAAAAAAAAAAAACCATGTATTATTTTTTTTTCAATCACAGTAGTAGTGAAGAAAAACTGGCCTGGACTCTTAAAATCAAACCAAGATGCTAGGTAATATTGGTGAAGAGAGGCCTAAAGCTATTTATCCTGACAAAAATACCGAATTCTCACTAAAGGTGCTGACTTACGTCCCCTTCTTCAACCAGAGAGGGCCCCTCAGCGCTGTGTAGACATGGGAGCCAAATTTCCAGCTCGCCCTTATGGACCTTGTACACCAAACAGCATGGCTTCTCATACCTGCCTCTGCTAGGAAAATAAAAGCCAGGATTAACAACAACAAACCCCTCATTAAAACAGCAGGCAAAGCAGAATTAAGGCAGAGAAGCTCACAGAAGGGTCCACTCTTTCTGCCGTGGGAGACAGGGAACAACAGAGCCCGTGGAGTGGAGATTCAGGGCCAGCACAAGATGCTGCAAAATCTGCCCTCGCTTCGCTTGTCCTGCCTGAGGATTAAAGGTCTCCAGCAGTGCCTAGAATTGGCAACACTAACTGCCCCGTGAAAAAGGAAGTTCAGCAAAATGATTGATATATTTAATATACATATATATATATGCACACACACACAGAGAAAAGAAGTTAACAATTTGTGGAAGTGTTAAGGTTACAACACATCTACTGATCTATGGACACACATGAACTGAAGATTTACCTGAGACCCTGTAATATGAAGACGGACAAACAAAAGAAGGGTATAGAAATAGTCCCCTGAAAGAACATTTACTGGCTACTACAGTAGTGTGTGTGGGGAGGGAAAAAAACAGCTCAACTACTCTAAGCTCACTATTTCTACACTGATATTTATATAGACATAAAACATCACTAGTACACACTACATGAACACTGATCACTGTTAAAAAATACCATATACATATGTATAGGATATAACAAGATAGTTAAAGGTTACAAGGTTTGTCAATTATCGAAGATATATTTTTCTCCCTCATTCTAGTGCACTGACAATAAACTGGGCTAATATTCTATTCAGGTAAATCAATGTACTTTTAAAAAGCTCTATTTTTACTCTGCCCAATAGGTAACATAATTACTGAAGTCTAGCATTCATATCACCACTTGTATGGGATTTCTAAAATGTCATGTTTCAGAATGTCCTATTGCTATGCAGTGTTATAATAGCCGTCTTCTAATTTATCTTCTCCCCCCCGGCCTCCTGTTTTGGATATCTAATGCTGCATCTGTATCGATGACTGCAGTAGCTAATTGTTGTGGGGTTTGGTGGGGGTTATTTAATGAAAATGTTTTAAATGCAAACAAAAGAAAAAGCAAGCAAAAAAAAAAACAACCAAAAAAAAAAAAACCAAACAAACAAACATACAAAAAAAACAACCCACAAAAACTGAAAACCAACCCTTACGTACATTTCAGAGACTACAGCTTTGAAGAATTTACATGCTATATATATATAATATGTAGGCAAGTGGGATTTCTGCTATTTCCCCATTGGTTGAAAGAGAAGAATACATCATCTAAAGTTTATGTAAAGAGGTTCAGAGGAGAATGAATGGGGAGTTCTAATAACTGTTGTCAGGTGGTAACTAAGACTACACTTACCACAGTAAGAATACAAAGTTAGGCACAAATTATATGATGGCTTCTTGAGGAGATACTGTAAACAAAAGCAGAGAAACAAGGGAAACCACCTTCAGAGGAGTGAAGTGAGTAAAACCACAGTTGCTGTTAGTGTGGAGCAAGGTTTCTGACTCTGTATAACTGAGGCATTTTCAACTGAAATGACAGATATCAAATTATCAGAAAAAACATACAACAGTTCTTTAAACAGTGATGCCCGTACGTACACCTCACTCTGGCACCATTTCCAAAACACTTCTAGACTCAAATGCACTTTAGTCCCAGTCTCAAATCATTAATTCTTGAAATTCTGCTTTCACTTTTCTACTTGAAAAGATAGATGGATTATAGTATTTCTGTTCTGGTCCCACATACTGCTTCCTGGTGAGCTGCTTAAAGGGTCTCCACTTGCTTAAGGTAACAAGTCCTCAAAGTTAGTATATATCATGCAAGAAGCACACAGACATGATTGGTCAAGGTCTGCTCTGCTGTTACTGTAGGAAAAGTAACCATGCTTACTGTGGAAGCTTTCTGCTGAATTTGTACCAGGACTACAGGACAACCCTTCTTTGCTCACTTCCATCCCACCTCAGGGCTGAGCTTCTCTTTGATTACACTGCTAAGATCCTAGTCCTATCATAGCTACCTGTTACAAGGATGCTTGTGTGAAATGACTAAAATTCTGTACATAATTTCTTCAACACAATTTTTCCATTGTGTTTATTCCTACATGTGTTTCCTGACAAAACCTGGTATGTCACCTGTTTCACAACATGCTTTTGGTATTTCATCAGGTACAGAACACACTCATGGGCATCACCTACACCTGGAAGTGGTCTATCTAGGTCTTCTCTATAGCATGCAACAATAAGTCCTACTTTCCTAAGCAACCACTTAAGAAGAGAAGAAACGGTGGGGAAAGAAAATGGAAAAAAGTATCGGAGAAGGTTGACAATGTTATTGCCACCCATGTAATAACTATTAGCATTGGGTCCCCAGTTCTATATCCTTCACTGGCAGTTTAAGTCCCAGGGAAGAGGTTCCCAGTGGATCAATCATATTCATGTAACGTTCACCGCGGTGCTTGGCCAAAAACGGACCCCAGTCAGGCTGTGGAGAACACACCAACTTGAGCCGCTGCAATGTGGGGGAGAGAAAAGAAAGTCTCATTTGAAGTTACCGAGCAGAATCATGACACAGGAGGAATGAGGATAGGCTCATTTAAGATTATGGATGATGGCCCTGCAATGCTCCACTGCTCAGTGTTTGTTTTGCACAAAGTTTGCAAGATTAATAGAGGATCAAGTACCCAGACTTTAATTATACATTCTCCCCTACACCATAGGAAGGGAGCTCAGAACCACTGCTGCAGATTGCAAGGCTTGCTTACTGAAGGACATGTGCACAATTACTTAGCCCAATGGTCTTAAGCAGTGGGTAACGGCATTAAAATAATTGGATTTCTGGTTTGCATATTTCCCAAAGGTACACAAATGACCAAAAGGAAGTACACTGCTATGAATGAACAAGGATTTTAATTTTGAGATGACAAAATATTTCATTATTATCAGTGGGGAAAAAGAAAGAGGAGAATGTTAACCTGGCAAACAACAAAAATCTTCTCATCTTTCCACTGATTTCCTTATTGAATATATAATTTGATTGGTGCATTTACAGATAAAAAGGAAAGAAAACATATTTCTGATGACTTAAAAGGGAATAATTATATGTTTATTACCTAATAAAGTGAATCAGGCCTATATATCAGTTATTTTAATCTCTGCTTAATTACCAGTTTGCAACTCTTACCTCCCAAATCAACCATAATAATTTTATGCAGCAGACTTGGTATTCAGGAAATACCAAGCTGCAGCTGAAATAGCTTCAGCTAAAGCCCCTTCAAAATACATCCAACTTTTTGATGTTTCTTTTCTTGCACTAGTAGAGGGTCAGTTAGGAGAGCACCCTATTTTTGCACCAGCACTACACACGTAAGTTAGAAGATTTGAAGCAGAGCAATTTGTCTCAATGAGAGAAACCCATGAGACGATGAATAAGCAAGTCTAATTTCTCATTAGCTCATTCCCAGCAGGAGCAGTTGTCTCCTGACCTGTGGACTCCAATATGCTCCACACAAGGCCTGAACGGCCCTTTAGACAAGTGGCTTCATTGCCTAGTGCCAGGTGTGTACTCAAATGGTGTGTCCCACCACTTAATATTAAATTCCCGTGCTTTATGTGAAGCAGAAAGGCATGCTCTTTTCCCTTAGGCATGTGTAGTGTGACATATTGAGAGACCAAAAAGATTACTCTATTTTAGTACATTTTCTCTCCTTTTCATCTTTGAGGCATGTAACAGCCCCGATGGATTTTGCAGGAGAGCTGAACTGCAAAAGCAGCTATGGAAAAGGGGAGGCAAGTGTCTCTTCCTCCTCCCAAGGAGGGAGCAGCACAAGCAGCATAAGCAGCATGCAGCAATGAGAGAGCAGATCTAAGAAAGCCTCAAAGGCCAAAAATAAGAGCATGTAACTTCTTCCAAAGACAAGGTGAAGGCAGCAGAGGGAGGAAATGCTGACATGAAAAAGGCATTGCCTGCAAAGAGCTGAGGAAGCAGTGGGATGGGACCAGCCGGGGAGCAGAGGGGATGGCAGCAGGATGACAGGCAGGGCCAGAGCACAGAAACAGGGAGCAGAAAGGGGCTGCCACACTTCTGAAGCAATGGGGGAAGCAGCAAGAATCTGATTTGCAAAATAAACACAGGCAGCATAAAAATAAAGTGCCACCTGGAATTCCTTTTAAGCCCAGGTGCGAGAGAGGATCAGCTTATTCAAGAAAAATAAAGAGATGAAGAAGCAGGGGGGAAAAGGATTGCCAGCGAAGTTCTAAAATGAGTCATTTGGGCTGTAGAGCATGAGTTCTTTCCAATACATCTTATTACTGTATTTCATCAAGTGGCACAGACTCCTGCAGTGCATCCTGCATGATGCTGGTACCCAACCACATCGCACCTTGCAAACAGGCAACTCCAGATTGATATCACCTTGCCCTGACTGCCAGGCTTGCTGCGACACGATATGCACCAGCAGTCAGTGCTTCCTACATCTATGGGCTGCTTTTGCAAACAGACTAGCAAAGCTAGAACAGCTTTCTCTCAATAGCATCATACCAGGGCTCTGTAACTCCTAGTTCCCATAAAAGCAATCACTTAACAATTTAGGAACAGGGAATAGAATGTCTTCATTTTAGATCAACCGAGCATCTCTTTGCAACACAATAACTAGCTTATGAGAAAGTAATCTAAGCACTATTAGACATTCAACATCACAAAAAAAAAAAAAGAGTAGTGTAAAATAAACTAAGCAGTCTCCTGCAACCATATTTTTTAGCAGCAAAAAGAAGAATTACCTCAATAAATTTGCCTGGGGCTAGATGCATTTTTATCACAAACATAACTGGGATCCAGATAACTGAACAGGCCAGCATCAGCCATCCAAGCACCATGGACCAGCCTGGATAATGGTAAGCTCCATAAGTCATTGGTTCCCATTGGTAAAAACTGAAGCAAAGAATAAACTGGAAACAAGGAAGGAAAACAAATATGTTTGATTAAGCAAAACAAGCTGCCTATGCAACAGGGCTGGTACGTATGGAATAAAAGTATATCTACCTGCAGCAGGGCGCTGCCGTGAGCTGTACTAAACAGGTGGGGGCCTGAATCTAATGAGTTTCATGGAAATCTTGCAAAATCGCACAAAAATAACTGCATTTATGCTGGAAGAACTGATATTAGAAACCTGACCCTAGAGTAACATGCTTTATTACATGGTCTTTTGGCAGTTTTACTTCATGTGATTATGCTAAGTTACTCCGTTTCACTTACTGTATGAACAGCAATACATCTACTTACATTGGTGCATAATTCAGTAACTTTGGGGAAATGCCTGTGCTCACAATAATTGCAAACAGAAGATTTATAACAGTATAACTAGGTAAAAGCGCATACCAGAATGATTAGTTTTATGTAGAGTAATTGAAAGTCTAATATTAGACTACCCAAATTTATCAAATATTAGCTATACAGACACAATAACAGAAAGAATACATTGCTTGGTTTTGCCTATTACCATTGCATAAAAGTTGAATTACAACTGATCAGCGTCAATTTATTTCTCACCAGAGGTTCACTAAATAGTACGTTTGGAAGGAAGAACAACAGGACATGCAAGTTTGAAGTGACCTCATTTGCTTTCTGATTTTGCTTTCCTTAAGAGACAACATAATTGTGTATTCCTTAGTTGTGATTATTGGCAGTAGGTAAGAGGGCAAGTCTGGTTGGGAAAGGAAACAAGCAGTTTGCAGAAAAGCCTTACAATTCCCTTCTGAAGTCTTAACAGTAGCATCTTGAAAACAACCATTGGAAGCAAAGCAGATGACAAAACCCATGTGTACATGCCTTCAGTTTTAACACTGCCCTCACAACAAGAATAGACATTGCCTTACCCTAATAAACATAGATTAAGCTGGGCTATGTCTTCAAACATTCAAAAAGGGATTTACAAACTCCACCTGTATATTGACGCATCAAACACCAGTTGCCACTACCTAGATAAGATAGATCTACCTGGTTTTTATGCACAGTAAAACTACGCTTCAGTAAAGACAACTGGTAAAGAAAAACTCTGTGGGAAAGTTCATCATACCCATTGGAGAAATTGTTCTCATCATAGAAAATGTCTTTTCCTTGTAACTCAGGATTTTGTTCAGCTCACCAAAACTCACTAGTCCTTTCACATATAAACCCCTGTCTGAAAAAACTAAACATTGTCCGGTTTTCAGATAAAAAAAATCCTTCATTTGTGAATTGACAATGCCAAAAAGTTAGTCAAAGCACAACTTCCCTAGAAGAAGTGACACCAGAGGAGTAGAGCATCACACCACCCAGCCAACACCACACATCCTAGGATTTCTGAAAATACATGTACTTTGAAACTGTAACTTTTTCTCTCTTGTACCTAACCATCTATGAACACTTGTAGGAACTATTTAGTACTGCTGTGAAATGATGAGGTTTCAAAACCCTACACAAATACTTAACAGTTGGAGTTACTCAGTCTGGAGAAGGCTCTGGGAAGACCTTAGAGCAGCGTCCAGTGCCTCAAGGGGCTACAAGAAACCTGGAGAGGGGCTTTGGCCAAGGGCCTGTAGGGACAGGACAAGGGGGAATGTCTTTAACCTGGCAGAGGGGAGATTGAGATGAGCTCTTAGGCAGAAGTTCTTCCCTGTGAGGGTGGTGAGGCGCTGGCACAGGGTGCCCAGAGAAGCTGTGGCTGCCCCATCCCTGGCAGTGTTCAAGGCCAGGTTGGATGGGGCTGGGAGCAACCTGGTCTAGTGGAAGGTGTCCCTGCCCACGGCAGGCCTTGGAACTGGATGAGCTTTAAGGTCCCTTCCAACCCAAACCTTTCTGTGATTCTATAAATAATCTTGCTGCACCTGGGGTCCATGCATCGGGGCTTTCAAGCTGTAGTCTGTGCTCTTAAACCTCAAATACTGGTGGAAGACAGCTCAGAGACTTAGCAAGACAAAGGCTTTTGAAATGGCTTAAAGAATGATTTCATTCTTGTGCCCAAAACTGATATACAGTTAGAGACTATATCTGAATTGAGGTTAACATGGTGTTAGAGAGCTAGACAGTAAAGGCAGATACAGTTATACTTTGATGCTTGGACTTAAAAAACCAAACATAAAATAGTAACATGGAGCATGCGCCACCTCTTCGGTTAAGTAGGAGATCTGAACTGGGACTACAGCATCACGTCAGCGTTTGGGGTTCAAACAGAAAGAAAAGAAAAAGAAAACCGCGCAAATAAACAGAATACAGTCTGCTTTAACTCTAAACCCGGGTTTTCCCACGCCGGAGCCCGGGCAGGTCGATGCCGCTCCCCCACCCCGCGGAGCGCTGTCCTGCAGCGCCACCTGCCGGCGAACTTGGAGATAGCAGCTGTAATAGATTCACAGCCTGGTTTGGGTTAGAAAGGACCTTAAAGCTCATCCAGTTCCAATCCCTACCACGGGCAGGGACACCTTCCACTAGACCAGGTTGCTCCAAGCCCCATCCAACCTGGCCTTGAACACTGCCAGGGATGGGGCAGCCACAGCTTCTCTGGGCAACCTGTGCCAGTGCCTCAGCACCCTCACAGGGAAGAACTTCTGCCTAAGAGCTCATTTCAATCTCCCCTCTGTCAGGTTAAAGCCATTCCCCCTTGTCCTGTCCCTACAGGCCCTTTTAAAAAGAGCCCTTTGACCAGCTCTGGAGTCCTCAATACAGCAAAGACAATGATTTGTTGGAAAGTGTCCAGAGGAGGCCACAAAGACATCGAAGTATCTCTACTATGGAGACAGGTGAGAAAGCTGGGCTTGTTCAGCCTGGAGAACACTCTGGGAGATCTTACTGCAGCCTTTCAGCTCTTGAAAGGGGCCTATAAGAAGGATGGGGAGGGACTTTTTAACAGGGTGTGTTGCAACAGGATAAGGGGTGATTGGTTTAAAATCATTCAGTCTGGATGCGAGATAAAAATTCTTTACAATAAGGGTAGTAAAACACTGGCACAGATTACCCAGAGAGATGGTGGATGCGCCATCCCTGGAGACATTCAAGGACAGGCTGGATGTGGTTCTGATCTAGTTGAAGATGTCTCTGCTCATTGCAGGGGTGTTGGACTAGATGGCCTCTGAAGGTCCCTGCCACCCCAAACTGTTATATGATTCTATAAGCCCCTCTCCAGATTTCTTGTCAGCCCCTTTAGGCACTGGAAGCTTCTCTGAGGTCTTCCTGGACCCTTCTCTTCTCCAGGCTGAACAAGCCTTTTTTCCTCTTTCTTTTCTTTCTTTTCTTTTTTTTAGAGAAGCTCAAGGGATTTCCATTTGTTATTTCAAATATAACTGTATTGACCTTCCCAAAATATCTCCAGCTTTGCAGCTAAAACTTTGTCACTCAGATTTCCACATAAACCTTCCCAAAGGATTCCTCCCAGAGCAGTTTAGGACTCAATAATGTGCTTCTTCTCTAGTTTAACCTGAGAATGGAACAGAGGTTGTGTCACTTCCATTCCCGTGCTATGTGTATACATACATATATATATATATATGTTACATACACACAAAATGCATTCAGTGGTCATCGCTGATGTGCAATGGTACACCACACTAGCACTTTGCACACATGGGGAAAGGCTGCCATAGCAGCATGAGGATATTCACCACCCCTCTCCACCAAAAACACCATCACTTCTGCTCTGTCTCATTTACTACACACACAGGCAAGAATGTGTGCACATACATACATGTACAGCTAGGTATCTGCACCCAAGATGTAATTACCACCCTTAAGAAGCCATAGGAAAGAGGAAGAAACACAAAGTTCTTTGGAGAAGACATTAAATAAACCTTTTACTTACTGTTAAAATAGTTGGGGTCACGAATGCCCAGCAGACTCTCCAGAATTTGCTTGGCTTAAATCCAATCATCATTTCTATATCTTCACAAAATCTTTGTAATCCTGTGAATAGCAAACATGGACACAATTAGGTGTGAAAGAAACCAGCTGGAATTTGCTAGGAGGCTCTGGTGGCCTCCCTCATATCTAATTACAAAAAAAAAAAACCTGACTTGTTGGTTGAAAACTTCAGTGAAGGATCTAACCACACAGTAAAATATGAGACTATTACAGTGGGAACCATTCCAATAAAATATTTAATTTCCTAAAGATTCAAGCAAAACTGAGCTTTTACACAGAGATTAGGCATTCAGTATGCTTTGAGTTGAAGTGTTAGTAGTATGGACTGGTTAGCTGCAGTTATAGGATCACGGAACCATAGAAGGGTTTGGGTTGGAAGGGACCTTAAAGCTCATCCAGTTCCAACGCCCTGCCATGAGCAGGGACACCTTCCACTTAGACCAGGTTGCTCCAAGCCCCGTCCAACCTGGCCTTGAGCACTGCCAGGGATGGGGCAGCCACAGCTTCTCTGGGCAACCTGTGCCAGTGCCTCACCACCCTCACAGGGAAGAGCTTCTGCCTAAGAGCTCATCTCAATCTCCCCTCTGTCAGGTTAAAGCCGTTCCCCCTTGTCCTGTCTCTACGGGCCCCTGTCAAAGCTTCTCTCTGGCTTTCAGAGTATATGTGGTTTTATGTGTATACTTACTATATTTCAATGTGAAGATGAATCTTATTAATATCTATATATCTGTTTCAGCATAGACAATATCTGAGCTTCTCTACACCTATGATATAGCTGGGGTAGAACTGTGTAGTTTCACACTGAAACTGAGAACATCCTATTACTTTTCAACTGATATGTAAGCAATACTTGGAATGACTAGGGAGCACCTATAAATATTTTACATTCTATTCAATGCTCTTTGAACAGATCGACTGGTTAATTTTTCAGATTATTGTAATGATTGCAGCTATAAAGTTACTTGGGTTAGTGAAACAGGCAAGATTGAAAAATGGTATTTCGGCCCCCTCTGCAGCTATCTCCTGCCTTTCAGCCTTGGTTTGCAGAACTGTTTGGGTGAATGGCTCCTGCTCACTGCAGCTATTAATAATTTACCCAAAAGCAATAAAAACAAAATTGAAATTTATTCCAGCTTTTCTAGTGATGACAAGAAAAGAGGCCTGGGGTCCAAGGCCGAGCTCATTTCTCACACAAACATTTCAAATTTATGACATTTTATCTGATAAAGCAGGTGACCATCTCTGTCATTTAAGGTTCACACAACATTGTTCTACAGCATTTAGTCCTTTATGATGTGGGCACAGGGATGGAGCAGAAACAATGGAGAGAAGTCATAGAATAAGGGAAGAAATACTTGGAACATAAGTAATAAACTGCTTGACATTCTTATTTTCCTTAGAGCCAACCACTGCAGCTGCCAAAGAAGGGATAATCCCCAAGTTTGATCCACCTAGTTTTAGAAGCCTTTCTGTTGATATCAAGGAGAAATAAATCTATCCACATGACTGTTCTAAGAATTAAGAAGGTAAAATAGAGCAGTGGTTCATTATTCAGCATCTTCTGCTGCACCTCTAAGAAAGCAGCAGGGCTGGATGGAGCTAGGGCAGAGGGGAAGCACAGAGTAACCCAGATCAGGCAGATAGTATGCCAGAGAAAAGCTCAAGAACTGTTATGATAAGAAACAGAGAAGAAAATGGGAGGTGCTCACACAGCTATCATCCCTGCAGTGCGCTGTGGTGGGAACAAAACTAATTCGAAACTAATTGCAGCAGCACAAGGGATGGGCTGAAGGGTCTTTCCCTGAGTATAAAGCTCACCCAAGTGCCTCTAGTTCAGCGAAGGAGATAGACCTAACTGGATAGCTACCAAGAGCCTCTGTCTCCAAGATTCATGCAAGCTCCATGCAAATCTGCACACATTTGTTTTAAATCCAGTTAAAAAATGTAGTTCCTTCTTGGAATCATCAGTTGATATTCACAGCTAAAGTGCTTCCGATATTGGCAGTCAGATGCATGTAAGCAGATACAGGGATTACACCATACTCATCTCTTTCCCAGTGAAAGACTGAAAACAGGTTCTTCAAGTTGCACAGAAAAATGCAAAGAATGCTTTAGTTAAGAGAATGAAAATTAAAACTTGATTTTATTCATTCTCCCTCTCAGATCAGTCAGGCCTGCTTTGGGAAATAAACAATAAAGATCTTATGTATCTCAATTTTCACTCTCTGAAGCAGGATGATGTATTCACAAGTGCTTGCAGATAGAAAACCCATTAAAAAGGGGAATGCAAACACTAGGCAGACAACTACTTCAGTATTCTGCTACAGGTGAAGTGTTCAAAATTACTGACACTTCCTACAAATACTCTGCAGCAGTTACCACTCACTCTGACTGCACCTTCCCCACAACAGACTGTCAAAAAAAAGATCTAGAAGGAACATTAATAAAGTTGAGATAACATGATTTCAGTTTCCAAATTTCACATTTCAAAATGCAATGATGGAAATGATGCTGAGGATTGAATTAATCCCACAGCTCTAAGCTATTCTTTACCAATCATGCATCATCATCTAAATATTACTATACCAGCATATGAAATAAAAATTATGGGACTGAATTATGTAGCACTGACTCTCCTGAAAAATAAGTGATAGCAAGGAAATAAACAAGCATGCCTCTCTTGAATTTCAAAATCTCAACAAGCTCAGCAAGCAGAACATATAACAAGGATTAAAGACAGATTTATTTCTTCATAAAAGCACCTGCTGCTATTGTGCCAACCTACTGGCCATGAAGAGTACAAGTACAAAAAGAAAGGTGTCAGTGGAGTGTAAACCAGCAATTGCCAGAGCTTGAAAATACATTATGCCCATTTTAAGCGCTGCTTGAAGGAATGTAACAAGAACAGCAGCTTCACTTGTATTTGCAACATGAAAATCACAAATGTACAAGCTGTATTCCTATCAACAGTCTTTATAACAAAACTTTAATGCAGTAGAAGTAGCTATGATATATTACTTGGGCAGATATTGATTGTAAAGTAAATCTTGCCTTTTTTGTGTAAAAGACTGAAGGCACTGTAGTCTAGCAAAAGGTTAATTGTAGGGAATAATCTTGGGAATAGTTTACAGCAAAGACTTTACTAACATCTGCTGATCAACAATCACAGTTGGTTCAGGAAGCATGGAAAGAATGATCTGTAATCTGTCAAATCTTTTCCACCAAAGTTGTATCTAACTATCAAAAAAACAAAAAAAAACAAACAAAAAAAAAACCCTTCTCTGCTATTCAAGCCCTTCCTTCGCAGTGCTACAACTGCTTCTATATTATTTTATGGTTTTCATAAAAATTAGCTCTTTAAGGGATACTGATATTTGGGGGGCAAAGCAGGCATGAGCCAGAGCAATTTTTCTTAGAAGCCAAATAAGATGTTCCACAAATGCAGGTTTGTAGTGATTCTGCCACACAGCGTTCAGAGGAGGCACAGAGCCATTTGGTCCCTATTTACCTTCATCCTTATTTGAAAAAGTGTATGGAACAAAGAAATTCTACAGATTTCAGTAGTTTGGGGGTTATTTAAGAATATTCTAAGCAAGGGGTTTTTATCTTGCACACCAATGGTAATGGCTGTAAAGAGGGCAATCTTTTTGGCACAGACCAGGTGATGTTGTAGATATTGCTGGCAACGAAAAGTGACAAGAAACCCTTAGACTCTTCTTGAGCATTCCTACTCGCCATCTTTTATGGAATCATACTGATTTTAAGAAATCTGGGAATTGGAGAGGGACTTTTTGTCAGGGACTGTAGCAATAGGACAAGGGATAATGGGTTTAAACTTAAAAAGGGGAAGTTCAGGTTAGACCTTAGGCAGAAGTTCTTCCCTGTGTGGGTGGTGAGGCACTGGTACAGGTTGCCCAGAGAAGCTGTGGCTGCTCCATCCCTGGTAGTGTTCAAGGTCAGGTTGGACAGGGCTTGGAGGAACCCGGTTTAGTCAAAGGTGTCCCCCTCTGTGGCAAGGGGTTGGAACTGGATGAGCTTTAAGGTCCTTTCAAACCCAAACCATTCTGTGATTAATTGGGAACTACGATAACCAGACACTAATGACTCAGATGGCACATACCCAGTGGTGTTTTCCACAGGAATGGGTAAATGCTAAACCTGGTGCTACCTGGGGGAAGGAATGGGCAAACCTTGCATATCTTCATGGAAACCACAGCACAGAGCAATGTCACAACTTGCCAGCACTGATCATCAAACCAAGAGTTCTGCTAAATAATCCCCAAAATCTTGACTTCACTTTAGAAGATATCTCAGAGCATTCCACTCAGGTCCTTTGAGTAGATATGTTGAATGTAAAGCTGATCCAAGTTACCAATGTCATTTCACTCAAAGAGGTGACACTTCTAAACCCACTCGAATACTTCCATTTCAGGGACATAAAAAGCAACAAGTATTTTGATCAACCAAAACATGACTGCTCTAAATCAAGTTTTCTCTTGGTGTTTTGACTTTTTCCATTGTATTCTGTAACATTTCCTCCCTAGCTTACAACCATTGAGGCCTGCCCACTGGATTGGATGGCAGCGGAGATAAAATACACTGCTGTATTTCCATGAAATTACAGAAAACAAGGAAGGGCTGATTCCCTGTCCTGTCTATAACATTCATTTCTCAAGCAAGAGCAAGAAATTCTTCATGTTTTGAATTATGTATAATTTTTAATGCTCTTACATTACAGAGTGGACCCCATCTAAGATCTAAGTATCTAGTGCACAGGACTATAGCCTAATATCATGATGCCATATATGCACCTTCAACAGAATATCTTGGGATTGTTTATGTTTAGCTGATACAAAAGATATAATTAATTCCTGGCCACTTTAATGGCCTTAGCTTTGTCACCTTTAACACTGCCATTCAAATCTCCCTTTGCTTTTGAAGGCAAGTCTTAAGTGGCACCACCACACTCCAGATATAAATTCCTCATCTGTTATGTAGGGAGACCTTCACATTTCCTGTTACAACCATCTGAGATCACACAGTTCCAAGAATCAATCTCCTGAAAGCAGATCAAGTTTGGGAGCAAATCACCATTTGGTATCAACTGATGTAGCTACAGTAGCATCGGTAATGGCACTGCTTTATACTAGATGAGCATCTTCCTCATAATTTGATGTACATGAGCATGGATCAATATAACTGTTGCTGCTACTGGGCATACTCAGTCTGAATAGCTGCATAGTCTTGATGCTGTGTTACAGACAGACTAAAGGGAAAAACGGACATGTACATGGAAAAGAAATCCTTCAAAAATTGTTAAATGCAAAGATACCACTGGCTTAGGACATCTGTGACCCTAAACCTTTGGAGTGTGAAAAGCTGCTGGAAAAGCATCACTAAATTCTTGGGCTAGTCTTACACTCATCTCTAAGCACTGGCTTTAGGCTATTGGTGGGCAAAGGACCTTAGACCATATGAAATTCTTTTACATACATGTATTTAAAGGAATCCTAAAGTAATGAAGTCCCATTATGCTTCTAGTCAACAGAATCCTAAGGCTTTTTGTTACAAAAGCTAATATGCTAATATACTAATATGTTACATAGATTGTCAAATAGCAGGATTTTTTTCTTACCATATATATAGGAAACTCCAACCAGCTCAAAGATGGCAATGATGACAAGAGAGTAAGAAGCTGCGTAAGTGTCCACAAGCTGTAACATATACATTCCACCCTAAAGAAAGAGAAGAGCCATTATTAGTGGCATACAGCTGGTGTCTGTCCATGTGTGACAGCTGTAATTGATGCTGAGGTTGGCAAAATGGATGGGAACAGGACACGAGGAGCTTTATTCCAAGAAACACTGACTGGACACTCTAGACCTTCATGACAGTTTCTTCCTTCAGGGCACAACTTAAGCAGCATAAGCAGCATAATTCAAGTGAGGGAAGGACTGAATCCATCTTAGGCTTTAGAACAGAAAAGCTGCCCTGCTGGGTGATGAGGTGAGAGGAAAGAAATAAAGAAAAAGTGATGAATTAAATAGCAAGATAAATTTTGTGCACCTCCTATAAAAACTGCTGAAAGTTTATAATGCTGAAGGGATTGGTGGACAAAAGACACTGAAGACTATCAACAGTAGATGAGAATTTAATTATTAACTCCACAGTCTGCCAAGACTATCAGTATATATCTTATCTGTGAGGGAAAGCACCCAAAACTGTTGTGCATGTTTATGTGACATACAAAGATTATAGCTAAATGAATACTTAATTTACATTACTGCTTTGGAGATGTTTGGCTGGAGAAAATCATAGAACTCTGATTCACAGAAAGATTTGAACAGCAATCTTTCTCTCCATAACAAAAAATAAGGCTTTCAGACTCACCCAGTGAGTTCAGCTTAATCTTCAACAGAATTCAGCTTTGTCTTTCGCAAATAGTGCAGGAAAAGAACGGCCACCAGAGAGGAACTGGGAACAGACAGTGATGCTCAAAAACAGTATTATTACCTGAGTGATCATAGGAAATCCCATGATGAAAAAGGAGATGCAGCACCCGAGAGTGAACAGTGGCTTGTGTGTACGCAAGTATTTGGGGAACTCATCCGAAACAGAAGTCACTATAGTCTCAATAGTGGCAAACTGAAACACAAAAGGACATAAGGTGGTACAGCTGGATTAAACGGGATTTTAACATTTTGAATCCTAGGTGTGAAATGCACAGATGTCAATGCCAAAGCTTCACCCAAATTAATTCAGCCTTACTTCATTCCTCTTTCTGAAAAGCAGTTCACAGACCATACGGAAAACAGTGATTAATCTCATGGTCCTCCAAACAAATAAACAGGAAAAACAAGAGGAAAAGAATGGAAAACAAAACCACTTTACCATAGTGTCCAATCCAAGAGTCAGTAGCATCAAAAAGAATATTATAGCCCAGAATGGTGAGAGGGGAAGCCTAGTTAAGGCTTCTGGGTAAACCACGAAAGCAATTCCAGGACCTAGAAATGAGAAAAATGAAGGCTGTAATATCTTGCATGCTGACTAAACAGAAAAAAAGGGAGATATGAAGAGTCATGTTTCAATCTAGTACATTATTACTTAGCTTGATAAAAGTAAAAAAGATCAGATTTGGTCTCTCCTATTCACAGAAAGATTTAACCAATACAGGATTGAGCCTCACATGATTGATTTCTGTTTTGACTGTTTCAGAACACTCATACGCTTCTCCTTTCCAAGATCCAGAATACATACGTGACCAGTATACTGCTATACTGAGCCAAATAGAAAAATAAACAAAAATTGTGTATTGAACCTGTGTTTCTTTCCTGCTCTGGGATCAAATTCCTGCTGCTGTCCCTTCCTATTAGCAATCCAGCCTTAGATCAGCACAGCAGTCACCCACACCCCAGGGCCACAGGGAACGGAAGAGAAAATCATAAAATCAATCATAGGATAGTTAGGGTTGAAAGACCTTTAAGATCATCCAGTTCCAGCCCCCCTGCCAAGGGCAAGGACGCCTCACACTAGTACATGTTGCCCAAGGCTCTGTTCAACCTAGCCTTGAACACTGACAGGGCTGGAGCATTTATCGCTTCTTTGGGCAAACTATTCAGTGCCTCAACACCCTCACAGTAGAGTATCTAACCTGAACTTCCTCTCTTTAAGTTTAAACCCATTTCCCCTTGTCTTATCATTACAGTCCCTGATGAAGAGTCCTCTTACAGCATCCCTATATGCCCCTTCAGATACTGGAAGGCTGCTCTGAGGTCTCCATGCAGCCTTCTCCAGGCTGAACAGCCTGAACTTTCTCAGCCTGTCTTCATACAGGAGGTCCTCCAGTCCCCTGATCATCCCCGTGGCCCTCCTCTGGACTTGTTCCAACAACTCCACATCCCTCTTATGTTGAAGACACCAGAACTGTACACAATACTCTAAGTGCGGTCTCACTGGAGTGGAGCAGAGTAGAGGGGCAGGATCACCTCCTTCAGTCTTTTGATGCAGCCCAGGATACGGTTGGCTTTCTGGGCTGCGAGCGCACACTGAAGCTGGCTCATGTTAAGTTTCTCATTGACCAACACTGCCAAGTCCTTCTCTTCAGGGCTGCCCTGAAACACTTCTCCACCCAACCTGTAGCTGTGCTTGAGATCACCCCAAATCAGGTCTAGGACTTTGTGCTTCACACTGTTGAACTTCGTGATGTTAGCATTGGCCCACCTTACAAGCATGTCAAGGTCCCTGTGATCCCATTCCCTTCCCTCCAGCGTGTCAACCAAACCACACAGCTTGGGGTCGTATCAACCAAACCACACAGCTTGGGGTCGTATCAACCAAACCACACAGTTTGGGGTCATCAGCAAACTTGCTGAGGGCGCACTCAATCCCACTGTCCATGTCACTGACAAAGATGTTGAACAGGATCAGTCCCAACACCAACAAGGGGCATAACTTGTTACTGGTCTCCAATTGGACACCGAGCCACTGATCACAACTCCGCATGCGGCCATCCAGCCAGTTCTTTATCCACAGAGTGGTCCACCTATCAAATTGACGTCTCTCCAATTTAGAGACAAGGATGTCATGTGGGACAGTGTCGAATGCTTTGCACAAGTCCAGGTAGATGACATCAACTGCTGTACCCCTGTCCATCAGTTCCGCAGATCCATCATAGAAGGCCACCAAATTGCTCAGCCAGGATTTCCCCTTAGTGAAGCCATGCTGGCTGTCACCAAGCACCTTGTTGTTTTTCATGTACCTTAGCATGCCTTCCAGGAGAATCTGCTCCAAGATTTTGCCAGGCACAGAGGTGAGACTGACTGCTCTGTAATTCCACAGGTCATCCATTTTCCCCTTCTTGAAAATGGGGGTTATATTTCCCTTTTCCAGTCATCAGGAACTTCACCTGACTGCCATGTTTTTTCAAATATGATGGCCAGTGGCTTAGCAACGTCATTTGCCAGCTCCTTCAGGACCCGCGGGTGGATTTCATCAGCTCCCATGGACTTGTGTATGTTCAGGTTCTTAAGATGGTATCAGAACAGATCCTCTCCTACAGTGGGCCTAAGGGCCTTAATTCTCACAGTCCCTGCATCTGCCTTCCAAGACCTGGGTGGTGCGCTCAGAGCCTTTGCCAGTGAAAACTGAGACAGAGAAGTCATTAAGAACCTGAGCCTTCTCAAAATCCACGGCAGTCAGTTCTCATAATAGCTTCTGGAAAGAGCCCACATTATCCCTAGTGTGCATTTTGTTTGCAACATATCTATAGAAGCCCTTCCTACTATCTTTCACATCCCTGGCCAGACTCAGTTCTAACTGGGCCTTAGGTTTCCTAACCTGGTCCCTAGCTTCCCGGGCAACATCCCTGTATTCTTTCCAGACCATCTGTCCTCACTTCCATCTCCTATAAGCCTCTTTTTTTCCCTGTAAGTTTGCTCAGCAACTCCTTATCCATTCATGGAGGCCTCCTGACCCTCCTGCTGCACTTCTTTCTAGTCAAGACACAACAGTCTTCAGCTTGTAGCAGGTAATCCTTGAATATCAAGCAACAGTTTTGGCTGCCCCTGCCCTCTAGGTATTCATCCCATGTCATCTTACTAAGTGGGCTCCTGAAGAGGCCAAAGTCTGCTGAAGTCCAGGGCAGTGAGCCTGCTGCACACTCTTTTCACTGTCCTGAGGATCTCAAACTCGACCATCTCATGACCACTGCAGCCAACAGCACATTCCCAACCAGTCCCTCCCTTCTGGTGAGCACGAGGTCAAGAATGGCACCTCTCATTATCAGCTCCTCTGTTAATTGCAAGAGAAAGTTGTCTTCCACACAGTCAAGGAATCTCCTGCATTACTTGTGCTGAGCTGTACCGTCCCTCCAACAGATATCAGGTTGAAGTTCCCCATGAGGACAAGGGCCTGCGAGTGTGAGGCTGTTCCTATCCGTCTGTAGAGTGCTTCACCCACAAAGTCCTCCTGATCAGGTGGCCTGCAACAGGTCCCCACAGAACCCATTGGAGTTCTCCCTTTGACACTAACCCACAAGCTCTCTGTTGGCTCTTCACCCAACCCCAGGAAGAGTTCCATACTTTCCAGCCTATCGTTGACATAAATAGCTACTTCCCCTCCTCGTCTGCTTGGCCTGTCTTTCCTAAAGAGCTTATAAACTTCCATTCCAACACCCCAAACATAGGAGCCATCCCACCATGTTTCTGTAATCCCAACAATGTCCTATCCCCATATGCATGTGCACTTACCTAATTCCTCTTGTTTATCCCCCATACTACAGGCATTTGTATAGAGGCATCTGAGCAGAGTTCTAAATGAAGCTGATTCATTACCTGGAGTAGCTGAAGTAGCTCTTCATTGCTCCAAGCATTTATTACAGGTGCTGGCAACTGACTGGGAGTGCTGGGATAGAATGAAGACCCCCTTCCCCAACACATCTAGTTTAAAACTGCCTTGACCAGTTTGGCAAGCCTCCTACCAAAGCAGCAAGACCAGCTCCACCAGCCTCCAGTAGACCTGGCCTCCTAAATTGAGTTCCATGTTCTAGATACCCAAACCCCTGATTATAGCACCATTGTTCTAACCATTTATTAACCTGCCAAATCTGCCTGGCCTTTTCAAGGTCCTCCCCTTTGACCTGGAGGATTAGCTATCCAAGCCCCAATGCCTTTAATCACCTTTCCCAGGGATCTGTAGTCCTTAGTTACTCCCAAGCTACTGCTGTACCTATCACTAGCACCCACATTGACCACAAGAACTGGGTAATAGCTGGTGGGACTTTTCAGTCCCACTAGTCAGACTAGAGCAGGCAGCCTCCCTGCAACATCCCTGATCCAAGCCCCTGGTAGGCAGCACACCTCCCGTAAGACTGGGTCAGGCCGACAGATGGGTGCCTGTGTACCTTTCAAAGTAGAGTCCCCTACGACTATGACCTGTCGCTTTTTCCTGGATGCACCTCCAGTGATCCTCTTTACTGCTGCATCAGCCAGTTGTTCATGTGGTGAGGTGTGCGTTTCCTCGTTAGCCCCTGCAGAACTGCAAAGTGGTTCTGGCTGGGGACAACAGATTTAGGAGGAAGCCCCTTGCTTTTAATTGTCCTCTTCCTCCCTTTTTTATGTTTTGTTTTTTGTTACTAGCTCCCAGCTTACTGCATTAGCACCCTCCTTTTCTATATGAGCTATTGTGGACGCTTGTGGCCACTGCAGTCTGGGCCCAGAGCAAGCCGCCCAGATCCCTCTCAGCTTCCCTGACATCTTTTAGCTGCTGAGAACGTCCCGCAGCTCAGCCCCTGCTGCAGCAGGACCTCCACCAGAGCACACCAAGTGCAGCCCTGCCCACTGTGCACCCTGGCCTCAGTGCAGGCACTCTCTGCACTCAGAGCCAGAGCAAAGCTCCCCTCTCATCGGCTCTGTGTGGGTGCAGACGCTGCCACCTCCGGGGCAGCCAGAGCAGGGCTCCCAGACCGGGCCCTGACCCTGAGGTGAGCGCTCACTGTCCTATCGTGCTGCCGGCACCAACCGCAGCGCAGAGCGACACCTGAACACTGTGCTTTCCCACACTCAGTGCTGAAGGCATACTCTCTGGAGATACTCACCTCGGCAAAATACTCTTCTTTAACTCATCAGCACACAGTCAAATGAGAAGGACAGACTATAACAGATGCACAGAGATGCTGACACCAGACACAAGGTAATCGCTACCATGAATCTAAAAAAATCCACAAGAAATTCGGAAGTAACACACAGCAGGAAAAATTAGATGGATATTTTAAAACCTTACCCAGGAATTTTCTTTTCTTTGTCGGTTTGATACCTTGGGCTATAATTTGTATTGACTGTGAGAAAAAAGTTTTTACAAAGCTGCTTAGGCTTGCCTGGGATAAAAGGCTGCAGGAATGTAGTAGCAGTGTTACAGTAGATGGCACTTCTTCCCTATTTATCACAGCTAATGGAGGCACCCATTTAGAACACACTGAAGGATGTTTGCTGTCAGGCAAGATACAAACCAAGAGTCCAGTTGTACTGGTGCCATGCCCCCATGCCATGAGAAGGGACTCCAAACTCACTCTGTCCTGGTCATTTCTAACCTACATTATTGTATCCCATTTCCTACAATCCTCCACACTGTTTCTGTTTCAGAGATAACTGCTGCTTTCTCACATACCAAGAAAGTTACAGTACATGTCAAATAAACTCCATGGGCAACTCATCAAGTGTTTGGTGGTTCCTTCTGAACAGCAGACATTTGTTAACACAATAAAACAAAACAAAACCCCAAACAACACAGCACATGACTCAGTTAAGTGTTGCTGCCTTTAAAATGTACTGCAGAAAAACTGTTCCCTGAAATAGGAATGTGCGTGTAGATCTACTATGTATTCACGAGCACGTTCTTTCATCTCTTGATTAAAGATTTCTTCTTGGCTATTATGGTTGTGCTAGCTTCCTGCATGTAGAAGCTTAAGTAAGTGTTGGAATAATGAGTTCCCATTAATCAGTTTTAGGAAAAAATTAATTACAGAACATGAAGCTGCATACCTCTCTATCTCAGCCCCTCAGAGCTCTCCAAGATATCCATGGCTGGAAGCATCCAGCCATAGGGAAACAGTCACAGAGAGACTGGCTCCTATCATCTCCAGCTTTGGAGGCTTAGGTGGGTATGGACTGTTCCTAAAATTCTATTAAAGCCCGGAAAACTCCAAAGGTTTGATACGTGTTGAAATTAAACAAGTTAAATGACCTTGAACTTTCATTTTAAATTACTCAGATTTTTCAACTGCACTATGTTCTCAATCAAATTGATAGTAGGAAAAAAAGTTAGATTATCTTACCTTTCTCTCCATGATAAGTGGTTTATTCACTCTCTTCCTACTGTACTTCCCTCTTTTAATACCTCACCCTTATGAAATATTTTTCACTGGCCTCAACAGGCTTTTACAAATGCACTGACAGCCCTGCAATAAGATTGCCTAGTGACATCTTTTTTCCCATCCCTTGGAACAGCTGCTGGAACAGCTGGAAACAGAACACTCCAGCCTGCAACCTGTTGCTCACCCAAAGGCCACCAACAAGCATTCAATAGAAGAGGGTTTGTGATCCCCTGCACTAAGCATTATGTCATTGCCAAGGAGATGAGCCAGCTGAACCAGTTTCCTCCACCATCCCCAACAGCTATGTCTGTCCATCCCCTCTCTGTCCATCTCTCTGGAGCTTCAGCTTCACTCAAGCACAGCTCCTTGGAGACAGGCTGAGAAAGCTGGGCTTGTTCAGCCTGGAGAAGACTCCAGGGAGAACTTAGAGCAGCTTCCAGTGCCTAAAGGAGATGACAAGAAACCTGGAGAGAGGCTTTTACAAGGGCAGGCAGGGACAGGAGGAGGAATGGCTTTATCCTGACAGATGGGAGACTGAGATGACATCTCAGACAGAAGCTCTTCCCTGTGAGGGCATTGAGGCACTGGCACAGGTTGCCCAGAGAAGCTGTGGCTGCCCCATCCCTGGCACTGTTCAAGGCCAGGCTGGACAAGGCTTGGAGCAACCTGGCCTAGTGGAAGGTGTCCCTGCCCATGGCAGGAGATTGGAACTGAGTGAGCTCTAAGATCCCTTCCAACTCAAACCAGTCTGGAATTCTATAATGATCCTATGATGGCCCTAACTCATTGCAAATGATTTCAGCAAGTCAGTGTGATTTAGATTTTGGGGTTGGTTTTGTTTGGGATTTGTTTGTTTCAGGATGGAAGCAAAATCTAAACTAAAAATATTAATAGAAATATTACTCCTAAAACACTTGACCTCACACAGATTTTTTCAACCAAAATGGTCTAATCCATCAAGAAAATTAGGGCAATAGTAGAACTTTTCTATTTTCTCCTAGCCAAATGGCAGACAAAAAAGAAGATATGAGGCACTGCAGACAGGATTGATATCATATTAACTTGCAACTGCAGTATCCCTTACTACTTCCTATCAAGGAATAATTTGCTAGCTGGCCGTCTTATGAACTTCTTCAGACCCTCCAGCTGAATCCACAGCACCATTAGCAGTCCATCCCAGCACATCTCAACTGCTACATACCCCAGATAAGTTGGCTCCCTGTGACTGAACTGCAGCGCATGAGTTTCCGCTAACCTCAGCTGCTGGGCTGCCCCATCATGACCAAAGGAGCTGCAGAAATTGCATGTGACCAGCATGTTTATTTGTATCTGAGATGCAAATTTTGTGGGATTATCCATGTTGCCATTTAAAGAGAAGGAATAAGCAAAAGAAAACTAAAAGCTCTTTCATTTTCTTAACTGGCAGCAACACCTTGTTCCCTCCTCTGCTGATCTCCTCTTGACACCTGTAATAGCTGATTTCTAATGAACAATTAGAAACATTCTGAGAAAAAAAGTATTTTTCTGAGAAAAAATAATGTGTTGCCTGCTTCAACACCTCTTGTTCCAACAGCTACAGGATTTCTGAGTCCCCAGCTCAAGTTGCCTGTTTTCCAGTTAGCTCCCACATCATTGTCAAGTGCAAATTAATATCTTAGAATCTTAGACTCACAGAATAGTTAGGGTTGGAAAGGACCTGAAGATCACCAAGTTCCAACCCCCCTGCCATGGGCAGGGACACCTCACACTAAAACATGTCACCCAAGGCTCTGTCCAGCCTGCCCTTGAACACTGCCAGATGTGGAGTATTCACAACTTCCTGGGCAGCACATTCCAGTGCCTCACCACCCTTACAGTAAAGAATTTCTTCCTTATATCCAATCTAAACTTCCCCTGTTTAAGTTTTAACCCATTACCCCTTGTCTTGTCACTATAGTCCCTAATGAAAAGTCCCTCCCCAGCATCCTTATAAGCCCCCTTCAGATGCTGGAAGGCTGCTATGAGGTTTCCACACAGCCTTCTCTTCTCAGCCTGTCTTCATATGGGAGGTGCTCCAGACCCCTGACCATCCTCATAGCCCTCCTCTGGACTTGTTCCAACAGTTCCATGTCCTTTTTATGTTGAGGGCACCAGAATTGTACACAATACTCCAAGTGAGGTCTCACGAGAGCAGAGGGGCAGGAAAACCTCCTTTGACCTGCTGGTCACGCTCCTTTTGATGCAGCCCAGGATACGGTTGGCTTTCTGGGCTGCGAGTGCACGCTGCTGGCTCATGTTCGTTTTCCCATCGACCAGCACCCCCAAGTCCTTCTCCGCAGGGCTGCTCTGAATCTCTTCTCTGCCCAACCTGTAGCTGTGTGTGGGATTGATCCAACCCAGGTGTAGGACCTTGCACTTGGCATGGTTAAACTTCATGAGGTTGGCATCAGCCCACCTCACAAGCGTGTCAAGGTCCCTCTGGATGGCATTCCTTCCCTCCAGCGTATCAACCGAAACACACAGCTTGGTGTCATCGGCAAATTTGCTGAGGGCGCACTCAATCCCACTGTCCATGTCACTGACAAAGATGTTGAACAAGACCGGTCCCAACACTGATCCCTGAGGGACACCACTCATTACTGGTCTCCAGCCAGACATTGAGCCACTGATCACAACTCTTTGTGTGCGGCCATCCAGCCAGTTCTTTATCCACCGACTGGTCCATCCATCAAATTGATGTCTCTCCAATTTAGAGACAAGGATGTCATGCAGAACAGTGTCAAACGCTTTGCACAATTCCAGGTAGATGACATCAACTGCTCTACCCCTGTCCATCAGCTCTGTAGCCCCATCATAGAAGGCCACCAAATTGGTCAGGCAGGATTTCCCCTTAGTGAAGCCATGCTGACTGATTTTTCCAAAATGACCTACAAATATTACCATGCAGAAATTACGGAAAGTAATTTTGATTTCTATGCCCTATCTGTGTGCTGTCCTGGATTGAGGGGGATAACACTGGGAACCATCCTCATAGAGAAACTCTCCCCTTCCTACCTCCTGCTGCATCATACGAAATCAACACAACAGCACCAATGCCTCTATCAGTCACACTTCTAGCTCATATTCAGCTCTACCATTTCAGACCTTTCAGATCCCCACGAGTAACCATCTCACTTCACTAATCAAGACCTTCTAATCAGTTCTTCAGAAATTCTTTACTTCCCCATGGAGGCAGCTCCTTGCTCCCACTTTCAGAAGCTCAATCCACCTCTCACACCATGGTTGACCCACTTTCCAGAAGGCAAAGCCCACCGTGCTCTCAATCCAAGATTCCAACCACCAGGGATGACTTTTAACATGAAGAGGATTTGACAAACAGCAGCAGAGACAAATGAGAAGGCCAATAATCCCTTAGACTATGGGAAGGAAACATCTCACTGTACCTCCTATGAGTCATTTACATAAAGATTTGAAATGAGTCTCAGCTTGCTTCCTTCCTCCAAAGAGTCTTGAAAAGAGGCTTGAGATAATATCTCGACTCCCCAGTGTACCTTTTCCAGTACATAAATGCCTACAGCTAGTTTGCTAACCCAATCCATTTTGAAGCCTTTATTCCCACCTCCAGTGTCAAAGTCATCATTAACAAGAGAGCTGAAGGTGCCATCAGGTGCCTAAATAATAAAATAGCAGTGTACACTACCTTGGTCTGCCACAGCTTCAATATTCACTTTGAGTTCATTTGCCATGAAGCCAATAACTGAGAAGATGACAAAACCTGCAAATATACTTGTGGCACTGTTGGTACATGTGACTATCAATGTGTCCCTGAAAAGAAAACAAACAAGAAGCCATATCACCTTGTTGCAATACATGCAAGGAAAGGTTTTATATACATTTCAGGAGTCTCTCTCATGAGCACTCACATCCTGTGGGAACTTTTACATTTACCAGGCACATTTGATGCTGATCAAAGATGACAGAAGTCTTACCACCGTCAGTAAACAGCTGTGTAAGTTTCCATCACCCAAATCCCTCACAGGAAACCAGAGGCCATGCAGAAGGTTCAGCCTTTGCCCTCTCCAAAGTAGATAGCAATGATGATATGATTTGTAATACCCTGGTTTACTCTTTGATGTGGCCACCTGTTCACTGTATTACATACAGACTAACCACCACAGCACAGGTAAGATAATTTCTGTCCTGTATCTTTCCTGTGCTTTATGCACAAAATTCCAGGGTTAAGCTTTCTGTGCCTTGCAGCACTCACTGAAAAGCCTGCCCACCTGTAGAGGATTCCCTGGAACAGTTATCCATTGCTGTTAAGGAAATCTCAAGAAATCCACCCCTGAATGTCATACTACACTGGGTAAGTATATGTCACTTGCCAGGAAACCTGCCCTCATGATCCCCATCCATAATGATTACATTCTTGATGCAATTTTTATTATTTTCTTCACTATACATGCTTCCAGAAGACTTTCCCTTAAACTAGTACAACTCAGGAACAAACAGATCACTTGCTTTAAATGTTTGTGAGGGGTTTAAGTTGTCTAGAATTACTTATTCCTACTGCTATTTGTCAGGAACAGAATGAAATATAACCCAAAAAGCTGTGACGAACCTCACTGAGCTGGCAACCTCCTGAAATTTCTAACAGACCATCTCTTAACAGGTATGATTAGGTTAATTCTTCAGGTCTAGAGAAAGAAAATTACCATCTTATTTGGAATCCTCATGTGCTAACCTTCTTTCAAGGCCCACATAAGTTTTAAGTAAAATATTTTAGGCATGCATTATGAAGTGAATTTATGTAAATTTTCTGCAATTATAGATTGCTTAAAGGTGTTTAAAATTAATATGTAACTGAAAACTACAATTTTATCTGCAGTGTTAGAATGTTAGGAATATAAGCATTGAAAGAGAATAGTCATGCTTCTTTCCAGCATTCAGGAGAAGGAAAGAAGGGGGAAAGAAGTGAAAGAAAGAGGGGAAAAGAAGAAGAGAAAAAGAGGAGGGTCCTTCAAACCAGATGTCTGCAACTTGGAAGACAATTTTGGGGTAAGACCTCTTCAATAAGACCAATGGATTTCACTCTCGCATACCTGTAGCAGTTATTATGAAATTTGTTGTAAGAAGAGAGAGTAATGAGGCCTCCCCATGCTGCAGATAAAGAGAAGAAAATCTGAGTGGCAGCATCCTTCCAAACCTAAAATAGATAAGGAAATAGCATTGGCTTCAGGAAAGAATGATAGGAAGATCAACAAAACTGTGAAATATTACTGTGAGGTGATTAACACAGTAGTTTAAATGAACTTAAGAGCAATTAACAGAACATTCAAAAGCAAAATCCAGGCTCTGAAATCCATAGTGTGCATTTGATTTGATGAGGAGTACTGTTCTTATTAAGCCCACATAAAATGAAAATACAACCTCTGCTGTGTATGGAACGTGCAACTATTAAAACTACATCACATGATACATATTGGTTCAAATATATTCAGCAACGAAAATACAAATCAAAAGGAAAAATTTGCATCAGGCACTTATGGTTTATCTCCCAGTGGCCCTAAGTAGTGCTTTATCTTCTTCACTGAAGGAAGAACCTCAGTGTTGCTTGGTGTGCTACTTATGAAAGAGATTACATTAAAATGAGGGTAAATATCTATCATTAGGTGTACATCAAACAGCACAGCGTAAGTTAGGGCTATTTAGACTTGAGGACACAGTTTTCTCCCATTAGAAGAAAAGACATGCTCAGTCAAGTCTTTTTTAAAAAAACCACACTCAGCCAAGTCTTTTTTAAAAAGCCACAAACAGAACAACCAAACAGCATAGTTCATTCTCTAACAAAGTTTTTCAAAGCCATCAATTCCTTTACATCTCTAAATACCCCGGAATTTCAAAGAAGTTTGTCTTACCTATCAGTTGCAAAATGTTTGGGCCATTGGTATTTGTATTTACAAACTTTCCTACAGAGGCTGATTTTCCACCCAAGTCTACAGTGCAGACATGGAAGTCCAGGTAGATGCACAGACACACAGTGCACCTGGACACACACTAACCAGTGTGAAGGTATTACTCAAATGCTACTTTAAAAGTTACCAGCCAGCAAACAGTCAGTCCTTCATCTGAGTGTAATATACATCTATTAATTCATGCTACATTGCAAAGAAAAGTAAAAACAGACACTTGCCTGAATATTGTCACTTACCCAGAGTTACATAAATATTCAGTGTATTCAGACAGCCCCATTTTGCAAAAGGCAGCAGTTCTCACCTCCTTTATTGCACAATGTGGGATCCAAAAACACTCACATTGAATGTAAAATTCATTTCTGTACTGTTCACAAAAAGATTTACTACTCCCAGCCCCAAAGGATCAAAACACCCATTATTTGCAGAGGTAGTAAGGGAATTAAGATCTGCACAATTTGTGCAGAAAACTGTTTTCAGCTTTGATTTATCAGTCTATCAGTGTGATATCATGCTATCAGTAGAGGAAAAACTTTTGTAGAGGTGAAAAATATATAAATAAATACAGTAAATTTCCTGTGGTGTTGCTAAAAATCCCTCTGAAATATCTAAGGGAAATACTCTGAATTCTAACTCCCAGCTCAGACTTCAGTCTCCAGACTCCTGCTTCAAGACACCCAAGACCATCACAAAGGCACTCATGTGCTGTATCAGACAAATACATGATCCGTGAGTTAAGTCTACAGACACAAACCTGTGGTGGTTTTGGAACACGTTTTACTGTCTTCACTGGCAACAAATGGCTTTTTAGAAACCAGTCGAAATCACGAGGCAGGAGAGCTGAAGCTCCAGCTCATACAGTCAGCATTCCAAGAGCAAAGCCAGTTACCAGGTCCCTTCATTCTGCCTCCTCCTACACAGCACATAGCCTTGCTTCTTACAACATGATGAAAATGGGAACTCAGCTCTTCTGTGCCAGTATAAGTGCTATTGTGGACTTAAGCTGGGATGTATCATTTGATTTTGTTAGAATGAATCTCTCATATGCATTATTCAGAGCAATCTTTGCTCATCGAGTAAAACACACCCATTCACAGCATTTATCAAGAAACACAGTTTGTTATGTTATATCTTAAAAGCTTCATGTGCTTGTTCAACCCAAGGCAGCATCCAACAGACACAAACATATGAAAATCTATACTTACTTCCTTTTTAATTCCCTATTTTCTACCTTCTCAAAATTCCCTATTTTCCACCTTCTCAAATATTCAGTGTGAAATAAATAACATTATTATAATATACATTAAAAAAAAGTTAAGTTTTTTAAAACCTAGCAAACATGTTAAAAAACAAACATCATAGAATAGTTAGGGTTGGAAAGGACCTTAAGATCATCCAGTTCCAACCCCAAATAACAAACACAAATAACACCACTCCACCTAATGTAAGGAACACGTTTGCACAGATGCCAATCCTGCCTCTGCACACAGAAAATGCTTGTAACAGGCACTAAAAGATTTCCATGACTTATTCACCCCAGCAGAGTTACAAGTGCAACAAGAAGCCCACCATAGCATCAATTAGCTTCTCCCACTTTGGCGTGATGAAGTACCAGATTCCAGCTCCAGCTCCAGGTAGAGTTACTCCTCTTATAAGAAGGATGATGAGAACTACATAGGGGAACGTAGCTGTAAAGTACACCACCTGGGCAGAAAAAGAAAAGCAGATTATTGAAAAGACTTATTTGGATCCCTGAGAAGTGAGGGAGGAAATACAAGTGCTGTACTATCCCCTGACAAAAAGTGGTTGCTCAAGCTCAGAGACAATAGCCAGGGGGTATACTAGGAAGACAATAGGAAACCTGTTCCCAGAAAATCTGAGGTTTTATAGCTCTTCTTGTTGCTAAAAAGAGGAATAACATCAATAACAACAGAGGTGACAGTTGGGATTCTAGACAGAGAAAGGAAGAAACAGCGAAAGGGAAGTCTGGAGAGGAACATCAGGAATCTACAGCTGAATGAAAATATCCTTTCTGATTCTTGCCAAGAGTAAACTAACACAATTCAGTGGAAATTAAACGAACAATACCATTCAATAGCATTTACATTCCTGATTTTTTCAATATATTTCTCCATATTTAACTAAGCCTACAGAATTTCTATTACTCTTTGTATCTCTTAATCATTACATATCACTGTGACAATATAAATAGTACCAATGCAAAAAAAGGAAAGTCAGTGGAGCAACCCAGTTAGACCTTATCATCATGATGTCTAAATACACAACAGAGGTAGAGCTTTTAATGTCTTAATAATTATCTATTACAGAGCAGAGCTCTCTCTGTAGTCAAATAAAAAGGCCAGTTAAGCTGTACACCCAAAAGCATTTCAAATCCTTTCCACATTAACACTGCAGGGATCAGAAATCTCCAAGATGCAGTGACTTTGGAAACTGCTTTCCCAACTTTGTCTTTTCTGCTCCAAGAAGTTTCCCTGAGGACTTTTCTGTTTGTTTGGGGTTTTTTCTGTGGTTTTTTGGTTTTGGTTTTGTTTGGGTTGTTTGTTTGTTTGTTTGTTTGTTTGTTTTGGGTTTCTTTGTTTGTTTTGTTTGGTTTGTTTGGTTTGGGGGTTTTTTGTTTGTTTGTTTGTTTTTATGTGCAGTGAATATACTGACCTCATCTACTCAGAAATAGAGGTTTTCTGCCCCTGATCCCAGAGTCAGTATTTTTCTTGGCCACTAAGGCTCACTGAAAGAAATATCTATTGCCACATCTAAACCCAAGTTATTCTCCTGTATGTCATCCATTTATTGACTTTGGCCTTTCACAAAGTGATTTTTCCTGTCACATTAAGGGGTGGGGCAGGGAAAGAATCACACCTTCCCCCTGGTTCTCTGAGTCCCTGGATTTACTGGATTCACATTTTAATGACAATTCCCAAGCTACCTCCCAATAGACATTGTCAGCTTCTAGATGCAAAGGGATGGCTTGGAATGAGAAGCCTTGTGCCCAGCTCAAGAAAATTCATAACTATTTCTGTATATCCACTATCCTTATCCCAGGAAATATCTAGCTATTTTCTTCCAGCTTTATTATTTTAGTCTTTGTAAATAAGCTAGATTTATGCTATATCACCTCCTAACATTTTAACCTATGTGCTAATTGCAGTAGCATTGATGGAGAAGGCTCAGCTACTCCATTCCTGCAGGGTTCACAGAAAAGAACACTCAGATCAGTGCTGCTGCTTAAGGAAAAGCTGTGTTTCCCTGCTCAGATGCTGCCTGGTCAATCTGCGTGCCTGTACTTCCACTCCAGGGAGTAGCACATTCCCTCTTGAGAAGGGTGTGAGTAAGGGGGCATGGCAGAAAGCTGCAGGTGAGAGGGGCAAGGGGCAATGTGAGAGATCAGGGAAGCAGAGCAAGAAACTGGCCTACGCAAGAAGGAGTTGTAGAAACATGGCACACGGATATTTGGGAAAAGAGGATACACACAGCACTGCTCACACTCACCAGAGTCAATTTAAATTTGGTTCTGATTTTAAAATGTCATTTAACATCTTAGTTTACAACCCAATTTCCCTGATTCCAGCAAAATGAGAGATGATTGCAGGAATTAATGAACACCACACACCACAAGGAAGGTTGCTTTTGCCATCCAAGTGCTGAGCGCAGCTCAAGGGTTCATTTTAAACTTACTGAAGATTAGGGAACAAATGCTGAACCAGAATTGTCTCTATTTTTAATGTTTTGGCTAGACTGGAAAGCACAGCCAGGAAAAGGGCATTTCATTAATACTTAACCACTTAGTGAAAATCATTTTCAGTAATTTACTGCCTTAAACCAGAGTGTGATTTCTTACAAGCAGCACACTGCTTTCTTGCAAGTGGACAGTCACAGTTGTTTTCCTTACTTTTCCTGATGACTTGATTCCTTTAGCAAGGGAGGCATAGACAATCACCCAAGCTAGGAAAAGAGATAATGCCAAGGGCCATCTGATCTCACCAGGATATTCAATCCCTGCTGAAATCTTCAGTACAAAGTACCTAAGAATAAATAAAGAAATTAGGAAAAAATTCATTGAAAGGATAAAAATTAATGACAGCAACTGCAGGCAGTAATTCAGTGCCAATTCCTGCAGTATTCTATTTTGCTTCAGCTCTCTCAGCGGTTTCTCTAGAAGGTTCCAGTGATTTTCACCATGAATTATTTTATTTATCTGCATTGCAGTAGTAGATAAAGATGCCAGAGCCAACCCTCCAGCTGAACTAAGCACCACAGGAACTGAGCACAAATAACCAGGCATTTGAAATTCAGTTGTCGTCATTCCTAAGACTAAAAAAGGGTATCATTTATTGTCCATAACTGTTGTATTTTCAGCCTTCCAAATAGGGAGGTGTTGTCTGTTAAAATGGGGTTTAGAGGAAAGTGAACATAATGTCTTCAAACCAAGACAGATCTTACTTGAAGTATTCTTCACTTCCACTGACAAAGGTTTTGTTGCCTTCACTGGTGAAGTTAACCATAGTCAGGTTTGGATAGGCACTCATACAAAAAGTGGAGTTTTTGATTTGTATTTTTGGGTGGTCACCAATAATGCAGGAATCTGGGAAGAAAAGAGGAGGTAGAGGAAGAGAAAAATGACTTGTTTAGAGGTTTTTTTTATTCAGGTTGAGTATAAAATGACAACAAAAAGTGCGACACACAAGTCGAGGACTTTTTTTTTGAGGGGTGGAGGGTATTATAGCTGAAAAATTCCATTCATCCTTGATGAGGATAAATACAAATAAAAGAGGTGGGGAAGAGCCCATTTGCTGCAGACCACATAAAAGCAACTTGGGAAGAGATGTTGCCTCCATCCTGGTAACCTTGCCTGACCATGGTTATCTGCAGTCTCCTCTGGCATCTCCCAGGGGCACAGCTGTGGTGGAGAAAGCACTGGAAAGCCACCACGGACACAGGGAAGGGGGGGGGGGGATAAATTATATATATATATATAAAGGAAAAATATTGGTGGTATCAAACGAAAGAAATGGGGCAAGAAAGAAATGGGGGGAAAGAAAAAAATGGGGGGGAATGGAACAAAGGGGGTGAAAGAAAATGCACAGAAAAGCGAGAAAAGGAAATGGGGCAAAAAAATAGAGGAAAAAAAAGGAGAAAATAAAGAAAAAGGGGGAAGCGGCAAGAAGGCAAAAACCATCTCTCCCAACTTACCTAACAAAAGTTTGTTTTTATCTTTACAGTCTGGTGTGTTCCAGGGGTTGTTGCAAGAAGCCCAGGGGAGCACGGGAACAAAGGATGCAAAAAGGTAGAAAAGCGTGTAGCAGAGGATAATGTTGTAGTATATGGCTATCAGGACCGAGATGATCAGCATCGCGATGCCACAGCCTGGGGAAACAGGCAGAGATACGGGGCTAACGCAGTTAAACCCAGGTAGGATGGGATTGGGGGGGGGGGGGGGAACCGACAGAAATTGAGCGGGGGAAGGCGCAAATTGACACCCCAAACGCGGTTCGGCTCACCTTGCAGGGCGGGGATGGCTTTCCACACCGACACGGGGCCCTGGCTGGCGAACTGCCCCAGGGATACCTCCAGGAAGAAAATGGGGATCCCGGCCAGAGCCAGCATCATCAGGTAGGGGATGAGAAACGCACCTGGAGGAGCGGGGCAGGGACGAGACAATGACCTGAACTCAACACAGCAGTGGGACTCGCCTCCCTTCCTGCCTCCTCTACCCCACGGCTGCTGCCGGCTGCCGACGGGGCAGCCCCTGCCCGCGGCACAAGCGACAACTCGGCCCAGACCTGCAGCTAAATCATTATTCCCAATGGATTATTGATTCCCGGTGCCCCCGCCTCGGAGAAGGGGCGCAGCTTTCTGCATCTCCAGCACCTCTTCGGGACAATATTATTGTTTAATGAGTATTTTAACACGTCGTACTTCAGAGTGCTTAGGGGAAAAAACTAGTCCAGTGTGAGGCGTCCCTGCCCATGGCAGGGGGTTAGAATTCGATGATCTTAAAGTGCTTTCCAGCCCTAACCGTTCTATGATGATTCTATGAAAACAAAAAACCACCCCACTGTTTGTTGTTACAGACTGATTTCGATTTAAAACCTCTCTCACAGCCTCCACATGAGAGTTTTCAACGACCACAGCCCTGCGCTTCCAGCTGCAGTGTATTGAGCACGGCAACACCCACCGGATCCCGGCTTAAATAAGAGCCTCTAGTCGGGGGAACCTCAGCAAATAATCTTTCTTCCCTCTTCCTCTCCCTTAAAACTACTCGGGCACAATCCCCCTTCCAGTTTTTCTTCTCCTGCATCCCGGGGAGCAGCATTCGCCATATTTCAAAAGATTATTTTTCAATCAGGTTATTTAGAGATTTAGAAGAAATCACCCAAACCTCACGAAATAAAAGAACGTCTCCACTCTTCAAACCTCCTCGTGTGGCTTTCATAGAAACAGCTCGGTTGGAAACGACCTTTAAGATCATCAGGTCCCCAATTACAAGTCCTTTGTCCCGTCCCCTCCTCCTCCCTCCGCTCACCAACACACACCCCCCACCCCGGTTTGAGGGCCCAGACCCGATAGCGTTTAAATCAGACTGGGGGGGGGGGGGGGAGGGAGGTAGTCCGCCCTCCGCGTGATCAACCTTCATCTTCCTCCCTGTCTGGCCAGCACCATTTCCAGGTGTTTTTGTAAGGAAAGCGCTACCTGTTAACGAAATCTTATCGGAGCTTCCCTACTTTCAGAGCTGACCTTCGAGAAAACCCAGGTACGGTTTTCACCGAGTCGCTGGAGGTGCCCCCGGGAGCCGCTTCCCTCCTGTTTCCCCCCACTATGAAGGAGGGACCGGCTCGGCCACGCACATTACTGCAGGTAGAGAGACAGGAAAAAGCCATCCTACCTCCCCCATTCTTAAAGGCCAGGTACGGGAACCTCCAGACATTGCCCAGCCCCACTGCATAACCCACCATGGAGAGGATGAAGTCCAGCTTGCTAGACCAGTTGCCTCTGGCTTTATTTTCATCCCCCACATCGTCTTCCTAAGAAGGAGAGAAAAATGGGAAAAATAAATAATAACAAAAAATATAAATAAAAAGAAATATGTATTGCAAACAAGCCTCGCGGTGCTGCGGCTGCCGGGTGCTCTGGGAGGGAGACACAGTCAGAAGCGAGGAGGGTCCCTTCCCTCCCACCGCCCCCAGCAGACTCCGCTAGCGAAAACGGAAAAGCGGCTTTCGACAGAAAAAAACATGGCCCCTTCTCGGGCAGCTCCCGAGCTAGGGGGAAGCGGAGACTGCGGCCCGGGGGTGCTAGTGGCGCTGCCCCGCTTCGCCCCCCACCCTCCGGGGCGAACCGCGCAGGTCTCGGCTCAAGGGGTCCCTTCCCGGAGACCCCGGCCACTGCAATGCGCATCTCCCGGTGATGCTGACGCCTGCACGGCGCTGCAGGGGTGGGGGTAGCCTAGCCCCTAATTCTCCGCTGCACCGTGAGTCCCATCGCCCTCTCGGGAGTGAAGCCCTCGGTGCCCTTGGAGCCAGCACAGCCAGCAGGGGCCCGGCTCTTTCCCCTGGAACATACAAAAGAAGTGAAAACACCTCTTTTACAGGATGAACATCATCCCCACCTCCCCTTTCAGGGCAAACCCTGAGAGCCGGGGTGAGCCGGCATCTTCACGGCCTCGCACCCCACAACGCAACCCCCTTCCGGGGCACACAGGCTCTGGTGGGGTTTGACGGGTTGGGGGTTCGGTTGATTTATTTCGCCGTCCTTTTTTATTACCGCCAGCGGTTTGATCAGCCCGGTGATGGGGGTGGGGGGGAGGAAGAGCATCCTTCGGCATCTGATGCCGGGACAGAACTTGGCCTCCCGTGGGAACGCGTCCCCGGTGGGCGCACAGCGTGTACCACAGGTCGGCACCGGGTCATACCGACAAGAACGGCTCAGTGAACGCATTGGATGCACCTCCAGCACCCTCCGGGAGTATAGCGCTGCCGCGAAGATCCACTCTCCCCCCTTCCTTTTCCTCCTTTCCCACGGCACAGCCCCATTTCCGACTGATTTGGACCCGATTTCAGCGCTCCAGCCCCAAATCGGTGCTGAGTGGCAAAGACGTCTCACTGCCACGGCCAGAAAAGAGGGAAGAAACCTTTTAAGGAACCAACTTACCCCCTCCACTCTGCCAGGAAGAACAGAAGTGTTGCCATCTGTGCCCAGTACCACGGTACTCTGGCTCAAGGTCACCCAGGAGCCCTTGGCGTTTTGCTCCAGTGTGCTCTTACCAAGGTTTAGGTTAGCGTCCCCGTCGGTGCTTTGCAAAGCGGGAATTTTGCAGTGAGGGATCGCAGCTTGCCCGACGGGCCCTGCCCCGGGGCTGTGTTTGCATGGGAAGGTTTCCACAGATCCCCTCCGGATGGCGGAACTGGCTTGCACCGGGGTGCTGCTGAGCTTGCAGACCCCTACTTTGGTCCTTTCAAAATCGTTTGGTTTAGGTTCTTCGGAGGAAATTGTTTTGATGTCGTTAGAGAGCGGTGGGGAAAGCCCGGCCATCACAGCGGGGGATGGAGATGGGACATTCTGCATATCATTTTCAGAACTGATTCTTAAAACTCCCGCACCTTCACGGGGTCCAGGAGCAACGGCTTCAGGGCTGTTCACAACCTGCTTGCTCATATGCCTTTGACTGGTGTAATCCTAAAATGACAACATCACATATTTTACCAAAAATGAATATATATATATATATATACACACACATACATATATGGACTGCACAGATTCTACAAATTTGTGTCCTGGGCAAAACTCATGCACTACAGAATCTGGATGCTAAAGTGTTGCCGAATTTCAAGATGCCCCAGCATGACCTTCTTGCTCTGTCACTCAACGTTACTATTGTGGGGAATAAACAGTAAGGTACACAAACACCCCCTCAAATCAACCAAACAAAAGCCCGCATCAGAATCTGCAAAGCTGTAACTCGAGTTTAAAGAAGTGTCTCTACAGCACTGCGCTGCCAGACCTCGTTAGATTTCACATCACGGCTCCAGGATGCTCCCTTCCCTATCACCAGTGTAGAAAGATTCTTTAATTTTACGCCCCATTTCCTTTCTGTCATTCAACAATGCACAGCGGCTTCCCCCCTTACCCCCCCCCCTTTTTTTTTTATAAAGAATAAAAATTATATCTAGGCAATAGACAAGCTGCCTTGTAGGGAGCCGGAGATATTAAAAAAAAAGCGAAACAGTGCTGCTGAGCAGTTCTGAGCTGGCTGCCACCCTTCAAAACCCAATAGCAAGACAGTGAAATGCAAAGATTACACACACACACCCCAGCACAGAGCGGAATTGACACCAGCAAGAGCCAGCTTTCCCTATTTTGTTTCTAATGTCTTTGCTTTCCCTATTCTGTTTCTTATGTCCTCGCTCTCCCTATTCTGTTTCTAATGTTTTCAACCCACACATCTCTATAGTTTCTATTGTTTTCATTTTAAGCATTCCACACTAATTAAACAGATTTCTGATGACACTCCCACAGCCATTCCCCACCTTTCCCTCCAGTTTAAAATTCAAATGCATCTTGTTTTAACACCTTAAACCCACAGACAAACCCTGCCTTTCCCATCAGTTTACCGTTAGCTTCCCAAATACAGCTTCTTTTTAGAAGGCGGTGTCACCTAACTACTCGTCACTGCTCCAAGTTTTCTCTCCTGCTCTCCCAGCGTCAGGAATAAGCTCTACAAGGACTCGGTCGCGATCCGAGTGAAATTCAGGGTATCACCTATTCCCCCTTCCCCGGCAGCAGCCGTACCCTCTCTGCAGTCAGCTCCCGTCAGCACCGCAGGCAAGTCCACGTTCAGCACCATAGACAGCTCACTCTATAGCACTGCTTCTTGCCTCCCTCCAGCCCTTTTCGATCTCAAGGAAAAGAAACCGAGCACTTACCATGTCTCAAATCGCCACAGACCCACTCGGCAGAGGTAAAACCAGCAGTACAGGCAATTGTCAGACTGGATTTTGCCCAGTTCAGGGCAAAGCTTTCTATACTTCCTTGGGAAAGACTGGGTTTGCGTCAGTGCATAGCAAGGTGCCCTTCGCTTGACATTTTCTTGATAATAAGAGTTTGATAAATCATTACCTTGGTTTCAGATTTTAAAGGGACAACCAGAAGCCAGAGCGCCGGCTAGCTGTCACTCACGCGGCAGTGGGATTGCGTGGTCCCTGTGACTCAGATGGGGGCTGATCACCAAACCAAATCCACCCAGCCCACGGAAGAACTTTCTTGCTGGTAATTAGAGGGAACATGTGGGAAACACGTACTACTGCACCCAGCACAAGAGAAACACTCCATTTCCATCCCTCTCCCCATTATTGTAGTGTGTAAGTCACCTTTTCCTTTTTGTCTTTTTGATGCATTTCTGCAGTTCACAGGTGGATCAGACGTTATAATAACTTTTACTTATAGAAAGAATATATTTATATATAGAAAGAATATAATTCTACAAAGATTTATATATAAAGAATATACTTTTATATAAAGAATACATGTATATAAACACATACCTACACACAGAGAAGTAAGTTCACTGTGTATAAAGTACGATAATACATTTTAATTGTGCCCTCCTTGTTCTCGTTGCACCAGACAACTCTGTAGCCTATTTATTGTGCCGCGGGGGAGGAAACTTTCAGCCCTAATTCAATTAAAACAATACACAAGATAAGGCAATCTTCGCTTTCATCAAAATTATTAAGAAAAGTTAAGTGTGAGCAAAGATGACGGCAGCTACAGTCAAGTTACTGGTGTTCTTCACCCCCACCGATTAAAGCATTCATGTTTGAGGTGGGGGGAAGAAAAGGGGCAATTACTTATCATTAAAAGTCGGATGTTAACTCATAATGGTTTTTGCAACCAAGTAATTCACCCGTAATCACCCCTCGTGTTATTTGCTACTTGAGGGGCATTCTCAAACATTTGCGGCGCTCAAGGTAACTTTGTTCAAGCTGAAAAAAATAAAAAGCACGTTGGGAAACCGGGATGCTCCCTAAGCAACCTTCCTTGTTGTTCCAGCGTCAGATCTGCGGTTCCTCCGCATACTCTCTGCTAGCGTCAGCTTCTCCGTAGAGTATTTGATGTTTTTAGCGTAAGCGAAGTGTGCGCCTATGCGGAGGAAGGGGGGAGGGGAAGGGGAGGAGTGGGACTCATCTCGCCAGGGCCACACGCGTTTTTCGTATGTCCTTGATTTTACGGGTTACTAACGTTTGTTTCAGCATACTCAAAAAGTCGCAGTAGCACAGGCAATACTGCAAAGCTTCCGGTGGGACTGAAAGGCTTTGGTCCACTGCAGACAGCTGCCTGCTAGAATCCAGCCCAACCACTTGACATTTCACCTGGTCACTGCGGATGGAACCCGAAATTCACCTGCAGCAATTAGGGAAAAGCCCAGGATGTTTAGGCTAGCAAACCAGAACACTGAAAACGGATTTTTTTTTGCAGAAAAGATTAGGCTGCCTCCCAACTGAAAACGCTTTGCCTCACTGCAGAGCTTCAGAGCACTTTTACAATACAGCTACTAGTAACTTATTACGCTGTTGCTTCGGCCGTATTCGAACATATATACCATAGATATACAACTACCATACGCACATGCAGCTGTTTTTACACTTACACAAGGTGTGCGCAGATTGCTGCTCTCCAAATACTTCTGCCTCTATTCTATCCTGTATTCCCCTCCCCGCTCTAATCAGAAATCGAGGGGCGCACACAGAAGCTGCTTTTATTGGGGATGTGAAGGGATGGGTGCAGTATTTCCCTCCCAGCGTATGCTCCAGCCGCAGAACAATCTGCCCGGGGCCAGAGAAGGGTCGTTAGTTCGTTATGCGGCCCTTCAGGTCAAATTAACGCCTCTAAAGGCACGGACAGAATTACAGGCGACAGGACAGCAGTTCAAAAAGTCGTCAAGACACCCAAACCTCTTCTAGATTCACAGGGTTCACACACACCAAAAATTAACAAAACTCATTCTTCACAACCTTTTCTAAGCGCTATTTTATTTTCTCCATCATCACTGAAACATGAAATCGAAGTTTCACCCCTGGAAAAGAGGAATCGATCTCCTTTACTTCCAGAAAAGGCAAGAGATTGCTTCCGACCCCCGCAGCCCGGGAAGGAGGCTCTGCTGAGGACCGGAGCCAAGGACCTACGCTTGAACAAGAGGGAAAACCACAGAGAAACATGGCTCGGGCTTCAAACAGTTTTTCCTCCTCTGAACACCGCTACGGCCGTCTGTTATGACATTAAAGCCGAGTTTCCTGATATTACCCTTCCCACGGGGTGGGGGGGGTGGGGGGCGCATGTCGGTTAAAGGCGTCTGTCCTCGGTAGAAACTCCTAGTTCGGAGTTACGGCTCCTTTCAAACAGCGACCAGGTCCCTGCCCCCGGCGGGGTTTTAACGCCCCAGTTAACATCCAGTAATTAAGTAAAAGACTTTTCCGAGCTCCTTTTTAGCTTCGTAACCCCCTCTGCACCAAACTGCACAGTCCCGATCACGCACCCAAGGGATTAGGGGCAGGCACCTGGCTGCAGGTTGATAGAAAGGAGGAAATCATGGACTTCTAAGATCAAAATGGGATTTTCCGCCCCGTTTCCCGAAGCAAGCCCGTTGGGGCCTCCCGCTTGGAGGGATCCCCCCGCGCTGCGTCGGGCTGCGGCTCCCTCCGCGTCCTGCGGAGAGCACGACCAAGCCTTAATGACTTTGCCACAGAGGAAGAATAGCAACTGATTTCTTTTTCTTCCCTTGCTCTCCTCCTCCCCCCTCCCGCTCCAGATAAGGGAATACGCCAAGGGAGGCGAGGAGGTGGCGGTGCCAGGGTATTGGCACGACTCTCACTCCCCTCGGCTCTTTCCCACACAATACGCAACTTTCCTGCCCTTACACCCCATTCGTGCCGTGCCTCAGCGGGGAAAAAAACACCAAAGCCCTTAAGTCACGACAAGAGCGAGAGGTGACACCTCTCCAACACGCCACAAGACACCTACGTGGTTCCCGTCCTGCGCTAAATTCCATCACCACCACCACCACCACCCCTCACCCCTCCGTTTCGGCTATTTTATGATGTGTCTTTTTCTCCTTCGTTCCCACTGGAAAGTTTACCTAAAATTGGTGGAGGCAGCTGCAGCAATAAACTGCGCCCTCTTCTCCCTCCCCCCTCCGACCTCCACCCGTTTTATCCCTGGACTTCCAGCCGCAGTATTTGCATCCCAGGGAAGTGCCATACGCTAAGCCACGGCTTGTCCCGGGGTCCTCACTTAGGGAGAGGCAATCGGCTGATGTCAGGCCATTCGCACAGCACATAAATGAATCTATGCACCGAGCGGGAGGTTTCTTCTCTCCCCCTCTTCTTGTTCCCCCCCCCCCCCCCCCCCTTTTTTTTTTTCCTTTTTTTCTGGCAAGGAGCATCCCCACAGATCCAGAGAAAGCCGATTTGGTGGGAGCTCTCCGCAGAAGACGGCCATTTAAATTCTTTTCTCCCCTTAAAGCTAAAAGGCGAATATAATGGTAAGGGTGAGGAAGGGTGTGAAGACCTAGGGGCTGCCTTTAAATGCCCAGTTACAGTTGCAGCTGAATGGGTTTTTTGTTAAAGGTCATAAGATTAGAGAGGTGTTAACCTTTAGGTGCGAAATGCACAGA